GCGGCATGGCAGGGCTTGCGGCCACCGCTGGAACTGTGATTCTAAGCGAGCAGACGGCCACACACTGAGCCCTCCAAACCAGAGTGAACTCTTTTTATACCTTATCCTGAAGCACATGCCTAATAGTTATACTCTGCATCTGAATCTGATACTTTCCTTTTTGAGCCATACCATGCATAGCTGCATTATATCTGCACCCAGTGATACCGTAACCTAGCTTTAAATCACTAATTTGTCAAACCTACTTTATCAATATGCTGACACTGCCAGTTTCATAGCATGTTGTACAACATATACCTAAAGCTTGGCTAGTCTAATGTTAATCTGTTACTCCACTCTATGCTTAACCCTCTAGTAGAATGTCTCTTCCTAAATGTGGCATAGAGGGATGTAACTGCTATCGTTTCTGTTCTCTATATTAAAAAATTGTGCATGTCAAATATACAGTACAGCTCAGCCAGAGGACTGCCTTTGGGGCACCCCAGGCCTATATGTCATTCTTTAATGCACTGCAAAAATAAAAAATTTAAAAAAAAAAAGCCTTACTGAAATCTAGGTAAGCAATGTCTACTGCACCACCCTGATCTATAATTTTAGTTACCCAATCTAAAAAATCAATAAGATTAGTTTGGCATGATCTCCCTGAAGTAAACCCATGTTGTCTCTGATCTTGAAATCCGTGTGTTTTTAGATGTTCAACAATCCTATCCTTTAACATGGTTTCCATCACTTTCCCCACTACTGAAGTAAGGCTTACTGGCCTATAGTTGCCCCGACTCCTCCCTATTACTTTTCTTGTAAATGGGCACAACATTCGCTAACTTCCAATCTTCTGGGACTACTCCTGTTAACAATGATTGGTTAAATAAATCTGTTAAGAGTGTGCTGGGCTTCCAGGACCACCGCGGGCCCCCCAGAACCCTTATGGCAGCCCTGGTCTGCATTATTGGCAATATCGGTATCTTTATTGGCCAGTACCGATATTGCTGAAAATACAGAATATTGGCCAGACCGATAATCGGTCGATCCCTAATTCACACCCCAGAGGGTGAGTGTGGCATGTTTGGGGAGAATGAGTAGGACAGAATTGGAAGGATTTATGTGATGGGGTGAGTGACATAGTGATGGAGAATGAGTGACAGGATTGGGGGAAAGGGGGGTGAGTGTGATAGGGTGAATACGGCAGAGCGATGGAAGGTGAGTATGACATGGGTGAGTGACAGGATTGGGGGAGTTATTGTGAGTGTGGCAGGGTGAAGGGGCGGTGACAGTGTCTGTGGTTTGGTGACAGCTACACATGCAGATAAACAAACACACTGACATATATGCAGATACACACCATTTAACACATACAGATACATACAGACACACATGCTGATGCACAGACACACAAACTAACACAGATACAGACATCTACACATAGAATGATACATTCAGATACACAGAAGGACACCTACTACAGATGCAAAATCTGACACACATGCGGATACGCTGATACACAGACCCTTAATGACAAACAGTCAGATGCATACATACAGACACACAAACACGCACACGTGCAAAATGTTTTAGTCACCCTCCTCTTTCCTAGCTTTTAGGTGCAGGAGGGTGACTTCCCTGGGGTCCAGTGGCTGGCTCAGGATGATGGAAGTCAAAGGTCCCACTCTGACTCTCTCCTCTCCTCTTCTTCCCTTGCAGTGCTCTGTGTAAGCTGGGAGGAAGTGGCCGGGGTTGTCACTTCTTCAAAGCGCTCTGACCTTATCACAGGAAGCCTGACCCCTGGATATACATTGTATCAGGTGGCCCGATAGTCCCATGAACGCGTGGCCCCGGTGGTTTTATTGCGCGGGCCAGGCCTGCACCAATTGGATGGTGGGCATACATACATAAACTTAAGTGAACACTATCGGGTCAGGAACACAAGCCTGTATTCCTGACCCTTTTGTTTTAAAACCACCATTTATGTGGTTTGTCACCACCACACCCTCTTCCCCCCCCCCTTACTCCCTTAAAACTCACCTTATTTCCAGCTGACGGAAGCCCCCAGACTCTCCACATCCACTTAAAAGACTGCATCACTCTTGACCAACTCTCTAGCCCATGTCTCCCAGTCCAGTGTCCCTTCCTGCCTGTCCAGAACCGCCTACCTTCCACCAGAGGAAACGCTGAGACATGGTGCGCCTGGCCGGGAGTGACTCTAAATCACCCTGTAACTCCAAAGTGTATATGAGGGTCACAGCGATCTGCTAAAATTTTAACCAGAGTGCTTTCGGTCCCAGGACAACCAATCAGGGTGCTCTTTGGAGAGTTAACAGAAGAGGTGGAGAGGCATTGAACGACGTCAAGGTCTTGGGGGAGCTCCATGTACTCACAAAAACCACAGTGCTTAAGGGAGACCAGGAAATGCTACCCAGCACTCTGGAACGCCGCTGGATTGGAGACTAGCCTTGTTTTGCTGAACTTTGTACTTCCATCGAATTCTGGCTAGCCATATCCGATGTTTGCATTTTTTGTACAGATTGGGTGCTCCAGAGAGACCTTTCAGGGGATATATGGCATGTTGGGGTGCTGGCTAATATTACTTGTGTTTTGGGGTATTTTATGTTTTGCTCTTTCTGTGTTCGGGAGATAATTAGTTTATCCGAAAGCTGAGTCAATTATATTCCAAACACAGAGGCGGCTGGGTTGTGCTACTCTGAATGACGACCCCATGCTGGCGGTCTGTGTATAAATTTGTTTGCTTTGACCTAATAAACCAGTTCTTCTTTACCCTTCACTAAGTCTCGGCTTGTGCTTCCAGTAAAACCTATACTGTCTGGCTCAGAAGTACATTTTCCAACTACAAGAGGACAATTCTTCTTTATTAAGATAGCCACATCACTTTTAGGAGACATAGCTACGAGCTAATATATTACCAGGTAAATGTGGTAAAACGTGGGGTTTTTTGAGCAAATGTTATGTGTTTGCCAGAACTCTCAAGTTGTTTTTAAATTAATTACTGACAAAGTTTAACCCTTCACATTCGGTGAAATTATCTTTATCTTTGATGTGATGACATGGGTTATGGGCTTGGCTACTAAAACACTTTGTAAAACTTGGCTGTGTTCTATGGGCTGTGAACTGGGGTGAAGGAGCAAGCAACAGCCGCTTCTTTGGATGTGACCGTTCTTCCTTAAGCAAGTGTTACTCTGAATTTGTGATCGTATGCTTGTGTATGTGTAAGGAGCCTAAAAAAACAAGTGCCCCAGGCAGATTATGGGTTTTTGTAACTATGCCAGTCAGTGTAGCTAACCTAATCTGGAAGCTGAAGGTGAGTCACATGATCTGACAGGCATATTCGTTTAAAAACAAAGCGGTTTTCCTGACACTATAGTACCCTGAGGGTGCCCCCACCCTCGGGCCCCCCTCCCCCTGTAGTGCTGAAGGATAAAACCCCTTCAGTTACTCACCTTCTTCCACCGCCCGGCTCCCTTACCTCTCCTCCCCCATCCGACGTCAGTGGAGCCGAATGCGCATTTGTGGCAGTGCCGGGCGCGCATTCAAAGTGTCCATAGGAAAGCATTTCTCAATGCTTTCCTATATACGCTCTGCATGATGGAGGCGAAATGTGCCCCCATCATCGCAGATGCGCCTCTAGTGGCTATCCGGAAGACAGCCACTAGGGGCTGGCTTAACCCCAAATGTAAGCATAGCAGTTTCTCTGAAACTGCTATGTTTACAGCAGGCAGGGTTAACCCTAGAGGGACCTGGCACCACATTGAGCTGAGGTGGTCTGGTGACTATAGTGTCCCTTTAAATAAAGCATGTTAAACAGTGCTAGCTAAAAGTCCATGCCTGTATTCAAACAGTCATTAGTAGGTATGTGGTGTTGGCAATAACTTTAATAAAAACTTGTTCTTGATGCCTGTCCTGGGCTAACTTCTTTTGCCCGTAGCAAACCCTTGATTTCCGTACCCCCTGTCACAGTGTGTGACACTTAGTGAGGGAGGAATGTTTGGGTATTTGGCACTTTTGTTTAACTGATTGGCTTGTTCTGGGCTCTGCGCAGATCACTGGTGTATACGAAGTCATATAATGTTGCCAATATGCAGACTGTTTATATAGTTTGTTTTATGATGTTTCATGCATTTATTATAGACACCTAATCTGTCATTTGCTATGCTCTATGCAAAGCTACCATATTTGCTGTACTTAAAGGGACACAATAGGCACCCAGACCACTTTAGATCATTGAGGTGGTCTGGGTGCAGTGTCCCTGTCCCGCTTAGTCCTGCAATGTAAAACACTGCAGTTTTTGAGAAACTTTCTACTAGACAGCCACTGGAGGCGCTTCTGGGAATTTACTGGACTCTGGGTCCCTTAAACGACACTGGACATCCTCACGCAGTTTGTAATAATTATCATTTAATAAAAATGTGTGGTTTTTTTTTTTCCTACAAAAACAGACACCAGTTGTGTTTATACTGAATACCTGCACCTTGTTTTTTTGTTTTGTTTTTAAAATCACTGAACTTTTTTGTATTTGAGGGTTTTTAACCCGCTGGAAATATGAAGAAAAGAAAACACTATTTGCATATTCTAAATAATTTCATACTGCTTCTTACACAAACCCATCAAAAGTTTTATTTTTTTATTCGTCCATATTGAGAATTTGCTATAACTATAATGCTAGTAATGATACACAAATAGGAAATAAGCGAAACATTTTGAATTTAAGGTAATTTATTTGAAGGAATTCGGTTTGATGACTGAAACCAGTTTCTGCTCCTGCTTCCTTGTAGTTGTGGTTATCAGTTTGCTGATCAGACTGTGTGGTAATTTTCTACTCTATAATCGTACTTTTCTTGCCTCAAGGCTATGTTCTTCCAAGATCGTTTTGATAATTTTGCTTAGTTTTTGGTTAGCGTTTGCAGGTTTGGTTCTTGCTGGTTCTCCGTAGTATAAAACCCCCACTCTGAGTTAGATGGAATTAGTTACATGAAACAAAGTCTTGGAATGACATGGCTGAAAGTCGGAATGAGAGTCCTTATGACAATGTTCCAACCAGTGGCAGGTTTACTATACGTTCACTGATCAGCACAGAAGAGACTGTCAAATCTCCATATGGACCACCAGAAAACGGCAATGACACCATTAATCTTAATAATCTCACCCAGGGAAGCACCTTATACATGAGGACATTTGGGTACAATACAGTGGATGCTGTGCCAAATTATGACCATTATGCCAATACTGAATTTCCTGGGAAAATCAAGAAAGTCAGACCCACGCTTGAAGATCTTCACTCTATTCTAAAGGTTAGTAACCAGTAAAACCATGCTATCTGATAGCAGGTACCTTCCATAGTTCTGTTTAATGAAGAACTGCATGCATACATTGGACATGAAATTCAAGATGTAGATGTAGAAATGTAGGTTCACATCAAGATGCTGGAATGCTGTAGTGGATGTGTATATGAATGCATGATAACCTATAATGAAGTACATTCCAGCAAGATATACTATACGGGGATTCTGTATAATTCACTTTGTGGAAAACAGTTTGGGCATTCGATTTGTCATTGTTGTAAACCATGCACAATCCATTGCAATAACATTAGGTTTTCAAATTGCTTTAACGTGGAATACATGTGATTTTATCCATACAACAAATGTATCAGGTTCTCATATGTTGCTTATTTATTAATCAATGCTAAGAGCCCACCTTGAATATATATAGTTTTAACTAGAAATAATTCACAGGCAAAATACAAAATTAATAAGTGGAATGGAAAACTGTAGTCATGAAGAAACACTTGGAAAAACTGCGTTTGTCTTTTTTTGGGGGGTGGGGTGAGAAGAGGCATCCCAGAGGGGTTATGATAGTGCTATACAAATATATACATGGTCAGAACAAACCATTAGGTGCTAATCTGTTCATTAGCAGGAATATACAACCGGAAAGCGGGAACCCGTTGAAACTGGAAGAAAGGAGTGTTTTTATAGTAAGAACAATAAAGAGGTGCAATTCTTAGTCCAAAGAGGTTGTCTTAAAGTTGTTGTTTTTTGTTTTCCCAAACCAAAATATTCAACAAAGATATAACATGTAGGAAGAGAAATCTTACTGTCTTTATGGAGTCAAAAAGTATTTATTTTTTCCTTTCTGAGGTATAATTGGCTAATTGGCCATTGCTTCAAGTTGGCGTTTGTGGGTTTTTTTCTTTTCATCTTAATGGACTTAAGTCTCTTTCCAACCTAAATGATTATGTATCTAATCAGGGCTACAAAATTTCCACTTGTTATTGGCGAGTGAAAATAACTCTGGTGGATGGAAATTCACTCCTGGTGATATGCCGTGGATCCTCCAGGCTTGCAGAGGCGAGTACATTTACGGCCTGGCTAGTAGTGTTGGACTTAAAATCCTAAAGGAACACTATAGTGCTTGGAATACAAACCTAACGCTATACTGCCTTACTAACTGTTTAGGTTACTGCCCCTCCTGTGTGGGCAATGAAATAATAGTTTTACTAACCTTTTTTCTTCTCTATCTTGATGATCTCAGCCAATCCAATACTTCCCCATTGGGAAGCATTTAATGACTAGTGTTCTAACTCCACATATTGCACCAAAGGGTTGCTAAGCTACCTTTATTTACTATTTATTATAGGCGCAGTTATCCCACTTTTTGTTTTTTTGTTCTCTTCTATTTTGTATTAAGGTTTGTAGTAAGTTACTTGGGTTACTGCAGCCTGTTTCTTTTTATTATAGTAAGCACCTTACCTCCGTTTGTCTTCACGTATCATTAGACGCGCTTGTGCACTAAGACTATGCAGGGAGCGCTTCACTAACACTGCCTGTTAGGCCCTTTTTTTGGGATGTGGCCATCCCCTTTCCAGGCAGGCCAACCCATTATGAGCATTGCTAATGACCTAGTTTGAATCACTGGCGACACTCCCACAGGACTCCACCCACATACACCCCGATTTCCAGAGGAGCAATATTGAACATGGGTTATGGGGATTATAATGTCTTTGTATTCTATTGAAAATCTTGATTAAGTTGTATAAAAATTATACCAATTGCAGTTTTTTAAAACTTATTTTAACCCAGACAAGTAAAAAAGAAAGCAAATTAAAATATGATTAGTGTTAATATTCAGTTATTGTAGGAAAACCTTTACCTAACTGTATGCAGGAGGATTATAACCATGGCTTCTTGCAGTGTTGGCACTTCTATTGTTTAATTAAAGGGACACTTTAGTCACCAGAACAACAACTTAATGTGTTCAGCGTCTTCACGTTCTGCATGGAGTCTCTGAACGTTGCCATAGAGATGCATTAATTCAATGAGGAGATGCTAACAGGCTTAGCGTGTAATTTTGCCGCGCATGTGCATTAACATCTCCATGCTTTCTTATGGGAATGGCTAATATCCTCAAATTTGATGATCTCAGCCACGGAGACGAGATGTGACCAACGCTGCAAAACTGGAATGGGAGAAAAGGTGAGTAAAATACCTTTTTACTGAGCTAGGAGGGGGTCTGTGGACCTATATAGTTATCTTACCACAATGGTGTCAGCAATACATGTGTGTTCTGACAGTATAGTGTTCTTTTAAAGCTTTCATGGGCATACAGGTTTTCATTTTGATGGACCTTAATTTCTCTACACTAGCCTACTCCATTTGTTTACTGGTCTTTCTCGTATAACCCACCACCCCTGCCCACCCTTGTTTTCTATTCTTTCCCTTTTGACCTTCCACCTTTATCTTCTGATAACTCCTACTGCTCCATGTTAACATCATTTCATCTCGATCATTAAGCTGTAGTGGTTCTGGTAACTATAGTATCCCTTTAAGCTGTAGTGCTTCTGGTAACTATAGTATCCCTTTAATTGATGCTCTGAGTGTTCCATTAATTTGCATAGAAGGAATTCTGTGCCAAGTAGGATAGGTTAGTAATAAAACATGATGTCTGCAAGATTTCTTACCTCAAGCAGGAGCTTACCTTGTTTTACCTCACTGGCTTTTTATTGTTTTACTGGGCATCATTAGATGTTAGTGACCTTATTTGTTGTGATTGCACATATATTGCTGACTGAGGCAAGAAGGTGCAGATGGCATCGGATATCCGGGATTGAAGGCTGGTAAATTTCAGAGACTTACACGCTCCTTTGAAATAACTGCACTTGCTGCACAGTTGTCCTTACTTAATTTTAAAGGGTCACTCCAAGCACCATAACTATCTATGCTCTTCCGTTTCATTATGGTCGGTTGGCCCAAGACAACATGCTGCCAGTGTTCAAGACAGAGCTATCCCTCTATCTCCTACGGACAAAGCCATGCAGTGCCCCTCTTCCCATATTTTCTCCTTCTGTCCCTTTCACCAGATCATCCACTAGTGCCTCTCCATATTTTCCACACTAGTGTCCATCTGTTCCTCTCTGCATATCCCACCATAGTATCCCTCTCCTAAAATCACACTGTGCTTATATCTGCATTCCTTAACTTGTGGACATCTCCCCCTTATATTATCATTCCCGGCACTTATTCCCTTTCCTTTGATTCCTTTTTCACTTAATTCAGAATTGTAATAAATTGAAATTTGAAATTCTAAAATTAAAGCGAACGTCAGACTGTGCCAGTAGCTGACCATTTCTCCAAATTACCTTTATGTACCAGTTCACTCCCCATACACCCCTTCACCCACTTGTCTGTCGCTCTCTTTCAATATTTACTCTTCTGTGTCTATCCCTTTTTCTTTGCACTCACCGCTTTTGTCGCTTTCCCCCTTGTCTAACCTGGTCTATGGTGGTGTACCCGAGAGGCGTAGGAGTCTGAGTCATTGTGGGAATGAGCATGTTCTGACAAGACTGTTGGTGTGTGGCTGTTGGTGTTCTGAGAAGTAGACGGGGGATACTAGCTTTCAGGACTGACTTCCCGTCGCACACTAAGTAAAATATAAAATGTGACTCCTGGTGGTGTCCTGGAGTACTGCATTTTGCTGCCCTACCCAGGGCAAACTATCCCATGGTGTTAATACCCACTGGGAAGGGTGACTGCTCTTCTAGGTGCTGCCTGCTCTAGATTTTAGTGGACCTCTCCTCGTGCTGTTTCAACGAACACTGTAGTGGCAGGAACACAAAAGTATTTCTGACACTATAGTGTTAAAATAACTATTTATGTGCAGTAAAAAGGTGTTTAAACTCCCCCTTTTTTTTTTTTCACACCGTACCGGTGTTGCCGCGGCTGGCCCCACTTGGCTCAGCCTCCAAGGCTGAAATGATCAACCTTGACGATCTCGGCTAATCCAATGCTTTCCCACAGGGAAGCATTGGGAGGCTAATAAGTATGTGTGATAAAATACTGTGCTGGCCAATCAGCATCTCCTCATAGAGATGAATTGAATCAATGCATCTCTATGAGGAAAGTTCAGTGTCTGCATGCAGAGGGAGGAGACACTGAACATCAGTACTGCACGTTGTTCTTTCTTCTGCTCTTGCTCCATTCGTCATTTCTCTTTTTCCCTACAATGCCCAGTTAATAAAACATCCACCTGCGTATGAGCTCATTTAAAATTGGTAAAGAAAGTAACCATGTCTTGCCATTGTTTATGTCTATGCAGTTAATATTTTTGTAACGCCACCATGTATACATTTCACAATAAAAAGACACTTTAAAAAATATAACTTTATTTATTTTCATTGTCTTCTCTTTTTATAGCATGAATCAAGCTGCAATCTTCAGCCTCCTGAATATGAGGCGAATTTGGATACCCCAGAGGGGGAGGCGGATACTGTGGGGGAGAAACCAATCGAAGAACCTGTTCGGTTTGGTTGGGTTAAAGGGGTGATGGTGAGCCAAATGTAATAATAATAAACAATAATGATGAAAAACTTAAATAACAAACAACTGAGTGATACATTTTGTTGTTCGATTAATAATACTGTATAAGGAGATTTTCTAGGTGACAAAAAACAGTTTCAGCTCAAGTTTTATGACCCCCTCCTCACATATCTTGACTTAAAGTGTCCCTGTTCCCAAAAATTTATTTTGAGTATTTCATAAAGATACAAATTTTATGAAACGTTCATTTTGACTACTTTGGAATTTCATTGAAATAGGGACTAGGTGTCTTATGGTAATTGCCAGTTAGAGTTGATAAAAGACAGAGGTTTCACTGTAAACATTTGTCAGTTGCCACGGCCATCAGTAGTGAGGATTGTGGGAATCCACCATTGTTTCACTCATAGCAAGACTTGATCTATGAAGGCTCCTGCATTCTCATGGAATTCTCCAGATCTGTTATATACTATTGCGGGAGTTCAGCACTGGCGTGGCTCCTGGCATATGAAACACCAGGAACTATATTTATAAACTCCACACATGCGCTCTTAACGCCATTCCATGCTGTATTAATCCTGTATTAACAGCATTCACCCTAAATTTGCAGCTTTAAACCAACACCCACTGCAGTTCCCCCACACTGTGTTGTATAAATAACTCCAAATATGGTTATTAAAGTGGCAGTGTCACAGATTATAGAATTGGAGATGTTATACCTCCAAAAATATTACAGGAGAACGCCAAACTGAGACGCGGGAATGTAGTCTGGGCTCCAGCCCGAGTCCGCTCCACCAAGCAACGCTCCTGTCCAAGGGTTTAATTTGTACACATTCATGGTAAACCCATTTTGTCCATTGCTAGGCTCATATAATGTCTGTTACTCATTCAAATATCAAGCTATATTACATATATCGCTATATATTTTTTAATCTTTATTTCATGTAAGTGTAGTACTGCCGTCTGTGTTTGCTATAGCGTTCTAGGCTTGGGTCACATTTAAGAATGTTACAGAAACTCTCTCTAATAACTCAGACTCCCTTATAAGCAGGGACATTGTAACCCCGAGAAATTGTGTGGATAATTTTCTTCCAGATACGCTGCATGCTGAATATCTGGGGAGTCATTCTGTATCTCCGTCTGCCATGGATAACAGCCCAGGCAGGGATAGGTCAGTACAATTACCCGTACAGAATTCTGTATTTGGAGATGCAAGTTTTCACTATACATGTTGGGAATTGTACCTAACTTTTTCACAAAATGAGACTCCTGTTTGGTTATATGTTTGGCTGTATGTATTAAAAAACTGTGTTCTGATCCAGCTTAACTCTCTACCAGAATATCGTGTGTATGTCAACAGGTATATAAAATGTGTGAGGCATTGCATGTCTATTTGAGTGCATGCTTTTCTTCATATATGTAAATATTTATGGTTGTGTGCATGAATGTATATGTGTCTGTGTGGGGTGACGTATCTATATATGTAGTCTATGTGTGCATATTATGTGCATATTAGTGTTAATGTGCAGTGTCAAATAACCATATTACACCTCCTTCTACTTACAGCTCTTACATGGCTCATTATCGCCATGTCTGTGACGGTAACCTCCATTACAGGACTCTCTATCTCAGCCATATCTACCAATGGGAAAGTCAAGTCAGGTAAGGTATGCCTTTCTAGAGCTCTGCCTAATTCCCAGGTTACTCCACGTTAAAATCTTGCATTCTGCTTTAAAAAAAAAAGTTTGCATCATAAACCCACCCCCACAGCCACTCCTCTTCTTTTCACAAAATGTCTTCCTTATTAGAAGTACTCAAGGTACACACTCCACTCAGCCAATGAGAGATCAGTGTGAGCTAAACGCCTAGTATTACTCTGCCCAGAACAGCCAAGCACATTTCTCGTATTACCTGCCCCTTTTTTACTTAGCGAAGCTTTGAAATGCTGTTCACATGATAGAAGTGATTGTCTGTGGGCAGGAGTGAAGTCAGCAGCTCAGCTCACACTGATCTCTGACATCTGGTTGAGCTAGAGTGAGTTCTCAGAAATATATATATATCCTCCTGTTGTTTTATAATTAGTTTAGACATCAGAGCATACATTAATGTTGCACCATAGCGGAACATCGTGATATACATTGCTGATAATGGCCTTGATTTAGCAAGTTTCCAAATAATTCATACCTTTCGAAAAACTCTCCAAATGATTTATCTACAAAAAACGACTTGTGCAGATAAATCTGTTGGAGAGTTTCCTAACCGTATTGAATCATTTGGAAAGCTTATTAAATGGATGCCAATATTTGTTACATAACCCTAAAAAGTTTGCATTGATTCACATGGTTTGCATTTAACTAAATGTGTTGTTAGTTCCCTGGAACCTGCACCTGAAGGATCAATATAGCTTTAAAAATCCAAATGTGTAATTCTAACACTATAGTGCCCTGGTATCCATTAGTCTTTGGCCCCCAGCTGTAGGGAGCAAATAAAAGTAGTTTACTTGCCTTTTCATCCCTCTGCGATGCCGTCCCACCTCTTTGGCTGATATCATCGAGATTGATAATCTCATCCAATGCAATGCTTTTCCTATACGAAAGCATTGGGAGGCTAGTCCACATGTGCATCAAAACACAGCGCTGCACCAATCACATGTTCTCTCTCATCTCGTCGGAGGTACCTGTAGTGGATGCCTGAGTGATTTCGTTTAACACATTTAGTTAAATACAAATGTTTTCCCTTGCACGGTTAAAACGGAGGGGGCATGGCTCCCATACCACATCATTGAGATGACATGGTCTAGGTTCCTATGGTGTCCCTTTAACAAAATGTTACTCCTGCCCCATTTATAATAACTTGCCACGGTGCGTGCCCACTTTTTTTTTTACTATTTGTTCTACATTTTGCTATTTAGAAATCAAGAGCACTCTAGTTTTAACCTTCTATTTTGTTATTTTTACAATTATTTTCTCTTGGGAAATACATGCTATTGTGTTCTTTTCAGTCCCTAGTTTTTAGCTGTGGTGTTTAATTAAATGTATGTTTACAGAAATTGACACATTATTAAAAATGTATATTTATATTTTTTTTCTTTAAAATTGGAAATTGTTTTAAACAGGACGTAGCCCAGTTCTCTCAAATATCTGTTGTTCACAATGCAGGTGGCACCTATTTTCTAATCTCGAGAAGTCTTGGCCCCGAGTTAGGTGGCTCGATCGGCTTGATATTTGCATTTGCAAATGCTGTAGCAGTTGCTATGCACACTGTGGGGTTTGCCGAGACTGTTCGTGATTTGTTGGCGGTAAGAACATCTGTTTGACTGAGTCCTGGTTCAAATTAAAAAGGTGAATCCAGTACCGGATAACACCCTTACCTTTTCTCTTCACAGGATTATGACTCCACTATCGTGGATCCAACAAATGACATCCGAATTATCGGGGTTATTACAGTCGCGGTCCTCCTGGGAATTTCTTTGGCTGGCATGGAATGGGAGGCAAAAGTGAGATTTTGTATATATGAAATATGAATTTATTAGAATTAATATGTTGCTATTATTAACATATAACATATTTTTTAAATGCTTTACAAGTTTAGGAATGTTATATAACTTCAAATGAGAGACAAACTATTAGAAATGCTGACATGAACCTCATGATAAAGAAAGCCTTGCTTAAATTTGCTTACCACCTAGAGCAGTGTTTCCCAAAGTGTGGGTCGGACTCCCGGTGTGTCGCCAGCTGAGTTTGGATGGGTCGCACTGACCCACGCATCCATGAGTCCACCTGGGTCAGCATGGTCAGGGGACCCTATTATTGCTGTATTATCAGCCGCAATGGGAAGAAGTAACTGCCTGTCACTTCCTCTCCACTTCTTACTGAGAGAGCGCAGGAGGGAGGGAGGCGGTGGCACCAGCAGCAGCATGGGGAAGACAGGCTGGAGTGAGCTACACTCATTCCCATCGATCTCAGCCAGCAGGAACCCAAGCATGCCACCTTCCTGCACACAAAAGGTATGCCAACAGGAGGGTGGCTACAAATATACAAATTATTACATTTATGTGTGTCAGATTGTGTGTGTGTATATGGATCCTTGTGTGTGTGTGCGCGCGCACATCTGTGTGCATATGAGAGTCTGTGTAACTGTGTATCAGGTGTGCATCTGTGTGTGTGTCAGTGTGTATATGAATTTGTGTTCATTCGTCACTGTATTTATGTGTATGCATCTGTGTGTTAATGTGTGCACATATCTGTGTAAGTACTTATGCATGTGGCAGTGTATGTGCATACATCCAAGCAGTCAAATGCCACTCCTGCAATCTAACACAAATATTACATACAAACACACACCTGCATTAAAAATCTAAAATTATATACAAACACACCCCTTCACTCAAACACCAATAGTACGCACAAAAGCATATCTGCATTTAAAAGCCATCACTACATACACACCCATGCATTCTTACGCAAACACTACACACAAGTACACCAATACATTCCAATGGCAACAGTACATACAAATACCTCATACAAAAACATGCTTACATTCATATTCTACCTTTTGGTCACACTTGCACTAGAGGGGGGCCCAGAAAATGTATTTGCACCAGGGCCCATTTCTACATTAGTTCCACCACTGGGATACTCAATGTGAGGTGCCTGGATGAAAGAGCGGGACACAGCGCTTCTGATTCTGCCGGAGTCTGTGAGTAACCATTTGTATGCCTCTTAAACTGATTGCCATGGTGTGCCAGGTTTCTGCCTTTAAAACTGCCATGATATGCCAAGTATATGCCTCTAAAGCTGATTGCCATGGTGTGTCAATATTATGCCTCTAAAACTACCATGATGTTCCAATTTTATGCGTCTTACACTGATTGCCATGGTGTGTCAATTTTATGCATCTAAAGCTGCCATGGTGTTCCAGTTTTATGCATCTAAAGCTGATTGCCATGGTGTGCCAAGTTTCTGCCTCTAAAACTGTCATGATATGCCAAGTTTATGCCTCTAAAGCTGATTGCCATGTATGTGTATATGTCTGTTTCAGTATGTGTATGTGTATCTGTGTCTCTTTGTATCTGTGAGTGTGTCTGTCTTTGTGTTTTCTGTGTCAGTGTTTGATTGTGTGTGTGTGTCTGTGTATTTGCATGTGTGTCAGTGTACGTGTCTGAGTCAGTGGTGTATTCTGGATTTGTGCTGCCCTAGGCACAACTAATTTCGGCAACCCTTATCTAAATTTTTCCCACCAATTCGTGTCAAGGCCTTTTTTTTGACTGACAGAGACACACTCACAATGACAGACACAAACACACACTCACTGACAGTCATAAACATACTCACTGCCAGACACACACAGACACACACACATTTTCTCATACACTCACTAATTATTCATATTTTTTTTAATCTAAAAGGTCATATCTCCCTCATCGCCCGGCTAGAATATTAGTACTTTAACACCTAGGGGGGCCCTAAGGTGGCAGCCAGCTCTTGGGCCCCCCAGTACACACAACAAACAAGGCATTTACCTGGACACTTGGGGCGGCTTTTTTGGCACCGCCCCACTCTGAAAGTGCCGCCCTAGGCAAATGCCTTGTTTGTCTTGTGGTAAATACACCCCTGGTCTGAGTATCAGTGTGTGTGGAAGTGTATACACTACACACAAATGCACACCTGCATTCAAACACCAACATTCACACAGATACTCCATACAAAAACATGCTTGCATTCAAACACAAATTGTGTGTGTGTGTGTGTGTGTGTGTGTGTATATATGTATATATATATATACACACTGCATCCACTACACATGTACTAACACACACTGCAGCCAATACACAAACACACGCAAAATGCACATGGTGTATCCACTCTACAAACACTGCTTCCTTGTGGGTGGATTTGGAGACGGGTCCTGTGGGGTGGATTTGGAGGTGCGCCTTGGGGGCCCAGACCTTGAGCTGTGTTAGGGTCCCCAAAATTTCTGATGGCGGCCCTGTATATAAACAACCTGTCCATAAGAGGTCCAGTATAGCCTAATTGCGAGGAGACTTACATTATATGTATCATTTAAAGCTAACTGAATAGTAGTTAAACATAAAGAAAACACTTTCTTAGTAATACTAATGACACAAGCTTACAATGATATAACTTAGTTTAACCCCTTCAGGACCAAGGACGGTTCAGGACAGTCATCTGCATTTTTGCGTTGTGGACCGGTGACGGTCCTGAACCGTCCTAACGGTCCAATGTACTTACCCTATCGCCGTAGTTCCCCCGGCGGCGATCGGCGTTGCTCCTGTTGTGGGGAGACTGCCTGCAGCCCAGACAGTCTCCCCACGGCAGATTAGGACCCCTTGGGCCATGTGATCGCTCAACAGAGCGATCACATGGTCACAATAGGTGTCCATAGTGCTGCCTGCAGGGGGACTGTCTGTGCTGACAGGCAGTCTACCTGCTAGTGTAAAATCAGAAAAAAAAATAACTGTTAATGTTACTAAAAAAATTATAATTATATATGTGTGTGTGTGTGTGTGTATATATATATATATATATATATATATATATATGTCCTGACGAAAGCTTGAGGGGATCAGGCTGAAACGTTGACACTTTGGATGTTTTAGCAAAGGTAATAAAAGTTAATTTGTATAAGTCCCTGGAGTGCTATCTTTGGAATTTCTTTATATATATATATATGATATATAGACATATATTATACATATATAATATGTCTATATATCATATATATAATGTCATACTAAGTGTATTTTTATATTAATATGTACATATACACTTCTAATTAAATTACACACGTGTATATATATACAATATATATAACAACTATATATATTGTATATAAATATTATTATAAAATACAAATAAGTAATTTAAATTAAAAACATGTAAAAATAATAATAAATTTTTTTAAATATATATCTAAATGAAATTTTATTCTAACTGTATTTTGATAGTAATATATTTATATCAAAATACACTTAGAATGAAATTGTATATATATCTATGTATATATAAATAAATAAAAATAATACGAAATATACATATGTCCATATTCAAAATTACATAAATAATTATATAAATATACACGTAGACTTCAAATATATAAATATGCATATATATTTAAATTCTACGTGCGTATTTATGTAATATTTTTACATAATTCAGTAATTTTATTGATTGCAATTTGAGGGACCTGCCTGCCAACCCAGGCCGAAATTCCAGAGAATTTAATTTGCTAGCACTGTATTTTACCCTGTAACGTTCTACGACACCCTAAAACCTGTACATGGGGGGTACTGTTTTACTCGGGAGACTTCGCTGAACACAAATATTAGTGATTCAAAACAGTAAAACATATCACAGCGATGATATTGTCAGTGAAAGTGACTTTTTTTGCATTTTTCACACACAAACCGCACTTTTACTGATGATATAATTGTTGTGATACGTTTTCCTGTTTTAAACACTAATATTTGTGTTCAGCAAAGTCTCCCGAGTATAACAGTACCACCCATGTACAGGTTTTATAGCGTTTTTGAAAGTTACAGGGTCAAATATATGGGTCAAATATTTTTACATTGAAAATGGCCAGGTTGGTTACGTTGCCTTTGAGAGCGTATGGTAGCCCAGGAATGAGAATTACCCCCATGATGGCATACCATTTGCAAAAGAAGACAACCCAAAGTATTGCAAATGGGGTATGTCCAGTCTTTTTTAGTAGCCACTTAGTCACAAACACTGGCCAAAATTAGCATTCAATTTAGTTTTTTACTTTTTTCACACACAAACAAATATGAATGCTAACTTTGGCCAGTGTTTTCGACTAAGTGGCTACTAAAAAGACTGGACAAACCTCATATTGAATACCCTGGGTTGTCTACTTTAAAAAAAATATGTACATGTGGGGTATTATTCAGAGATTTATGACAGATAATAGTGTTACAATGTCACTATTGATAAATTTTAAAAATGTATGTTTTGAAACCGCAATATCCTACTTGTACCTATAGCCCTATAACATGCAAAAAAAAAAGCATGTAAACACTGGGTATTTTTAAACTCAGGACAACATTTTTAATCTATATAGCAGTTTTTTTTCATTCGCTTTTGTAGATGAGTAAAAGATTTTTCAAGTGAAAGTAAAAAAACGTGTTTTTTTTCAATTAAATTACATGAGATTATATAAATAATGGTATGTAATCTTTGTATGGGAACAGTAAATGAGAGAGCGAAAAATTACAGCTAAACACAAACACCACAAAAGTGTAAAAAGAGGCCTGGTCGCAAATGTACAACATCGCAAAAACAGTCCAGTCCTTAAGGGGTTAAGTAAAATTGAACTGTGCGGTAGAGTTTTTTTTATTGTTAGTAGACTTTTTGCGCCACAAGCTACAGTTTTTTGTTTTTTTTCTCTTAGGCACAGATTCTGTTCTTCATTGTAATCATGATCTCATTTGTAAATTACTTGGTCGGGACCATTATTCCAGCGTCAGAAGAAAAGAAGGCCAAGGGGTTTTTCAGCTATCGAGGTGACTAATGGAATCAATGATACGTTCGAATTTTTGCCACTTGCTCAACCAGCTAATTAACTTTTCCATAAGAGATCTGGGGAAATGTGACTATAGATGCAACAACATATAGGGGTATTCACTAAAAAAATTATACTGAATTTGCTGGGAATTCAAAGTGAATTTCAAATTTTAGGTTAAAAGTACAGAAATGCCAAATAATTCTATAAATCAGAAAAGTTTTCCCCTTTTTTTGACTAAAATTTAAAATTTCACTTTGAATTTCCAACAGTTCTTACTTTGTTGAATAATGCTGCAAGTCTCCAGCTATGGTTTAATATTCAAATAGAAGAGAGAGAAGTCTGGGTGCTAAAAAATGCCTTATACGACAATGTGTATAAAAGTGTTTCACACTCTAGTTTAATCCCCAAATTCACCAACAGAGAGCAATGTGTAATAGTGAGTGGAGCAAAATAAAACCGTATTAAAACAGTATTAAAAAATTGTATACAAACTCATTAGGTATATGCTAATTCTTCCCAGAAATGGTTGAGATATGTAAGAGAAAAACATAAAAAATGCAATGATAGTGCAGATTGTATTAAACTGACAACAATGAATCAGTTGGCATTCGCTTAGTAAGCCTTATTTGTAAATAATCAATATGATCTTTCCAGATATAATATTTTATAGAATAGCTTCAAATGCAAAATGCTGGAAAAGTATAACCATTTTATTGTCTGCTACATGCAGAGTTAAAACAAACACATTAATAGAGAGAAATATAGAATATACTATAATATAAATTAAAAGCAGAGGGTAGCCGAGCCGGAGGAGTGACAGCAGCCCACCCATTGACTTGTATAAGCTGTTTTAGTGAGTAACGGCGGAAGCCGCTCTAACTCTCCATCAAATCTAGTAAGGGGCTAGCTACCTAATGAGTTCTACTTTTCCATATACCTAATGAGTTTGTATACAATTTTTTAATACTGTTGTTTTAATACTGTGTTTTATTTTGCTCCACTCACTACTACACATATGATTTAATATTACTAAAATACAAAATCAAGTGAAAAAAGGCGCTAAAAAATGATATAAAAAACATAGCAGAATTAAAATATTCTAAAGAAAACTGCACCTTTAAATGTGAAATAGCCAAAAAATACCTAAAATTAAAATATATAGAAAAAAAGGTGCGCTGTACATTTAAAATACTTTACAATATACAAATATAAAGTGCAACAGAGTACAGAGAAAGTGCAATTTAAAGTGCACTATATTGTGCCATAAACAGTGCAATGCATAGCATTATCTCCAAATTTGGTGCAAAAGCAAACCAGTATCCTTGGTGATAAAAAGCAACCAGGAGCCCTTACTCTGTTAGCATTGGAAAAGGAACTGTTTTTAGTATACCTTACTAGGTATGGGTAGTGCAAATCAGTCAATGAAAATAAAAGAGAAAAAAAAGGAAACACTAATAGTGTAACTCTGCGGCACAGATATTTAAAATATGCAAGAGAATCAGGCAACTCACAAGAGGAGAGCAGTTAAAGTCTGCTCTAACTTGTACAGCTCAATTGTCCTGTAGCCAGGATCTCGATGTAATAGGTAGGACGGTAACTTGATGCAAGTGAATCCTTTATTGGTAACATAAAAACATTAAGTGACCAGCTCTATCCCATATGCAGTGCTTCCCCTTTGTGTCCTCAGTCTCTCTGACGCGCCGCTAGCACTTGCAGTCCTCGGGCAGCCAACACGGTGTAAAATTCATCTGGTAACTCGACGTACTGACGTCGCGCATCTTGTAGTGTGATGATGCGTTTAGCATGAAGAAGTTGCCCAGGCGAAACGCGTCATCACGCTACAAGCCGCACGACGTCCGTACATTGTTTACATTGCAGCCCAGGGTTACCCCCCACTGGTCACTCCTCAGGTGGCTGCTAGAGGTGCTTCCTGGGGCAGTGCTGCACAGTGGCGCTGGAAATAATGTACGGTTTAACCCGTTCTGAGAGGGCTGTGGGGAGGGGCAAGTCACCTACATGGTAATTTTAACACTGTAGGGTCAGGAGTACACGTTTGTGTTTCTGACCCTATAGTGTTCCTTTAAATGTAACACTTATAAACCGTGGGATTTAAATCTTGTACGATTCTAATACACATAATTTTTCTATCCCTGTTTAATTCATCATATCTCAAAGCCTAGTCTAATGTTCTAGTATTTTTCCTTCTTTAGAATACACTCCCCTCACTTACTCACTCACATGCACCTTTCAAAGAACTTCCTAAATTCTGATATTGCTGTCAAAAATTGAACCAGCATTGAAAAGTTTACTTGGGAGAATCCAATTTAGCAATTTAATAGTTTGTAACCCACTTTGCGTCTCATGCAGAATTTGTTAGACCCCTAACTACGCATGAAAAATACATTTTCTTATTTTTTTTTTTATAGCTGATATTTTTGCTGAGAATTTTGTCCCTAATTGGCGTGGGCAAGATGGCTCTTTCTTTGGCATGTTCTCCATTTTCTTCCCATCAGCCACTGGAATACTGGCTGGAGCAAACATTTCTGGTGACTTGAAGGTATACGTAATTTTAGTATTATGATATTCCAGATATGAGTTGGGAAAATAATGAGGCTCTCTAAAATTATATTCCATTTTCTTAATGCAGGATCCAGCTGTAGCTATTCCTAAAGGCACCCTGATGGCAATCTTCTGGACCACCGTGTCCTACCTGATCATATCTGCCACAATTGGTGTGTATTAGGAAAGTTTATCTGTCTCTAAATCCTGTTTAATTTGATCTTATCTCTATTCCATTCTGTATATCATTTTGTGTTTCCAATATCCTGATTCTATAAATGCAGAGCGCTGTGGAATATGTTGGAGATATAAATGCTAATATTATAAATGCTAATAAGTATTGTACGCAGTACTTCGACCATATCTCAAGAAGGATATTGATACTTTGGAGAGAGTTCAGAGAAGGGCTACTAAACTGGTTCATGGATTGCAGGATAAAACTTACCAGGAAAGGTTAAAGGATCTTAACATGTATAGCTTGGAGGAAAGACGAGACAGGGGGATATGATAGAAACATTTAAATACATAAAGGGAATCAACACAGTAAAAGAGGAGACAATATTTAAAAGAAGAAAAACTACCACAACAAGAGGACATAGTCTTAAATTAGAGGGGCAAAGGTTTAAAAATAATATCAGGAAGTATTACTTTACTGATAGGCTAGTGGATGTATGGAATAGCCTTCCAGCTGAAGTGGTAGAGGTTAACACAGTGAAGGAGTTTAAGCATGCGTGGGATATGTATAAGGCTATCCTAACTGTAAGATAAGGCCAGGGACTAATGAAAGTATTTAGAAAATTGGGCAGACTAGATGGGCCGAATGGTTCTTATCTGCCGTCACATTCTATGTTTCAAGGGACACTGTAGGCACCCAGACCACTACAGCTCATTGAAGTAGTCTGGGTGCCAACTCCCATCACCCTTAACCCTGCAAGTGTAATTATTGCGTTTTTTATAAACTACAATAATTACCTTGCAGGGTTAAGTCCTCCCCTAGTGGCTGTCTATCAGACAGCCACTAGAGGGACTTCCGGCTTCTTAGACGACTTTTGGTCGTCTAAATGATACTGGACGTCCTCACGCTATGCATGAGGACCTCTAGCATAGCCAGAATCCGCATAGGAAAGCATTAAATAATGCTATCCTATCGGGAGGTCTAATGAGCATTAGGTCTCCCCTGCCGGCGGACGTCGGCAGGGGAGGAGCGTGGGTGGGGCCTTACCCATCGCAGAGGGATTCAGGTAAGTGTCTGAAGGGGTTTTAGAGAATCCCTTTAATAATAATTTACTCATATATTTAGAACATCCTTATGTGCACGTGTGCTTACTTTACCTCCAATTTAAAGGCTTGGAAACAAAACCTTGTAGATTACTTTAGTTCAAATGGTTCCATCACCCAGGAAAAATATATTTGCTTTTTATTTTTTAATGAATGAAGCAACTTTTTATCATTCCTTGTTGCTTTTTATTTTTTAATGAATGAAGCAACTTTTTATCATTCCTTGTGTACTGACATTGGGTTTTGATTTAAAAAGGACTTTATTTTACTGGATCCGTTGCGGTCAGCAGAGTGGGCTCCAGTTTAGGGCAGGTGTGAGACTGGTGCTTGCTTATTCTCTATTAAAACACCACTGTCAAATTGTTGAATTTCAAATGTCCAATGTCATTACAGTATTGCTTTAATAACGACGCATTCCGTAGACCAGTGTCTTTACTGCTTTGGTCAACTAGATAATTCATGGATCCATGGCAAGTTCTCCCCCTGAGAAGCCAGGACAGGCAGGTGCCCATATCAGCCTGTATGTTAAATGAATGGAAGACTGTAAGCACCATAGCCACTTACATTGAATGGAGTGGTTATGGTGCCCAGAAACAGCTGTGGTGCCTGCATCTAGTTGCCGATTTCTAGGCTTTACCAAGGCTAGCTGTTTGGGACTTGGGGCAGATTGCAAATGCCTGGGTTGGCATCCTGATAATGGAAGAAAATGACAGGGGGCCTATCCTCCAAAGACAATATGGCAGATGTGGAGCTTTGCTTTCTCCTTGCACCACACCAGGTCATACCAAGGATTGGAGCATTGATTGGTTGAGGACACTCAACTGACAAGGTCAGCCTATCACTTGCCATTACCATTGGTATGTTATGAAGCAGAGAGTAGCTCCACCTCTGCCAAATTGTCATTGGAGGCTGAGCTTTAGACAACTGTATCTCAGAAACTACTGGAAACCAACCAATTGTAGTACACAGAAATTCAAAGAACAGACAAGACCACATTAATATCAGACCGAGAGACTCATAACAAACTCATCCATTGAGCAAGAGTTTTAGTCAAATTGTTTGGAAGTGTAGAGTGTAGACTGCTTTGCTATTTTATGTTTTTAATGTCTAAAAAATCATCAGTAATCATTGAATAGAAGAAGTATGTGTACTGAAAATCCCAATGACCCTGGATTCACACTTCAGACAATTCTAAATTGAGAATAAATGGTCCAAATATTGGTCTCTGTCAATCGAAGTAGTCCTTATGGTCCACGTTCTGGACCATGGAATGTATCTTCAGTCTCGTTTATTTTTTTCTGCAGCATCCTGCGTAGTTCGAGATGCATCTGGAAACCTCAATGACACCGCTATTGCTGGGGAATATTGCACAGGTTTGGCATGTGGGTACGGATGGAACTTCTCTAACTGTATAGCCAATAAGACCTGTAAATATGGACTGAGCAATCACTACCAGGTGTATACTTGTCTTTTGTCCTATCAAGACACTTGTCATTAACCTAATGTTTATCCATAGATATTGCAGAACAAATATAAATATGTGTGTGTTTGTGTGTGTTGCAGACTATGAGCATGGTGTCTGGGTTTGCCCCTCTTGTCACTGCTGGGATATTTGGCGCCACCCTGTCTTCTGCTTTGGCTTGCCTGGTCTCTGCACCAAAAGTGTTCCAAGTAAGGAAGATGGTGATGTCTAGAACATTGTGTAGCAGACGATGTGTATATGGGACTACCATTTTCCTGCACCCACACAGATATATTGCAGTCTATTATAGGATTGGATAGTAAAGTTCTGTATCACTACTTGCTGTGTGTGCTTAGTTATGTTTAAACATACAGCTGTACATTTTGTAAACGAAGGTACAGAACAGAGGTTTTATTCACTAAACTCTGAATAGCAGTAAATTAAAACCCAAAAGGTATAATTTAGGCTGAAACAGTCAAACTGTGCTATGCATCCCAACAGTCTGTTTGGATGGGACAGTAGGGCTGCTAAAGCGTTCCTTGCGTGGCCTTAGTGCCATGTGCACAACGTGAGCAGGTCTAATGATGTGCTCACACTGTGTTGCTTAGAGACAGTTCCCTGGTGTCCCCAAATGCGAGACACCAGAAAACTAAAGAGAGACAGAACCCCGAATCAGGAGTGCTGGGGGGCCTGCTGGGAGTTGGAGAATTTTTTCAAAATCCGCTTCTTTAGTCTCAATTATGCCATTCAGATATTAATTTGCTAAATTTGTGAATAACTTCAAATTCTCAAATTTGCATCATACCCAATAACTCTTACTCTACTGCTTAGCTGTTAACAGAATGTCTGTCTGTACCCGAGACACAAACATTGTTACTGTAGGCAGGTGGGGATTTTATTATTATTATTATCTTACTATGGCATTGTTTTAAGATTAATATAAGTGATAGAACAAATAGTAGAGTTATCCTACTGGGCTTAGAGCTAATATTTAGGTTTAAAGTGTTTTGGATCAGTTTCGCTGTAAAACTTGGCAATCTGTAAACAGATCCAAGTCTCTTTCTGTAGATGAAGGTACAGAACAGAGGTTTTATTCACTAAACTTTCTATAGCTGTGAGGATAATCTGTTTGCTTCACTCTGTAGAACTGTTTCTTTAATTAAAGTCTCTCTGTGAGGATTGCTGTATATGTTAATGTCAATCCTTCCTTCTTGATCCAGTGTCTCTGTAAGGACAATCTGTACCCACTTATCGGTTTCTTTGGGAAAGGTTATGGAAAGAACAATGAGCCTATTCGTGGATACCTCCTCACGTTCCTGATCGCAGTGGCCTTCATCCTGATTGGTCTGTACATCATTTCCTTGCAGTATTATTATGGAATTAGAACAGGGTGCTACATTTCAAGTCCTATGCTGCCCAGTCATAAAATTAAATTGCAAATGTGTAATATTGATCTCTTCATCAGGATCGTGTGCCCTGGGGTTCTCTGGGTCATGTAGGCCTCCCCTTGGTTGTATGGACGGCGGTGGGGGTTTACCTCCAAGTGAGCACCCAGCTCGGAAGAAGAGCAGGTGTTTAGGACAGCAGTGCTGCTCATTTGTGCGGCAAGAGGTGCAAGTGGGTGTGGGCTGTAGTCCATGTAGGCCTCTGGTTCTGAAGAGAAGCAGGCATTTAGGTTGCCGGGATTGGGTCTTTGTACTTCAGGAGGTAGGAGCACCTGAGAGCAGTTGCTAGGTCGGTGCCAGAATTTCAGGCAGATCATATCAAATCTGTGGTTAAAGGAGTCAAGCCACTTCTGGGTTCCAAGGCCTGTCTGGGATCGTGGTACCTCCAGCTCGGCGGCTATGTTGGACTCACCACGCTGGTCTTGTGTTGGTCAGCAAATCTTAGCCCAGTGGGTTACCTCCGCGGTCCAAAGGGGAGGTGGGGAAACGGGGTTAAATGATATCCTGCTGCTAATGCAACATTGTGCGGAGCAAATGATCAGCCGCCTCACTCGCTCAACAGTTGTGTTAGGCCTCAGTGGGATTTCCGTAAGAAAATCTTGCAGGCAAGGCACCCAAGGTAAAATTATATATATTTATATATAAAAGTGTTGAATGTTGGGGTGCAGCCAAGCTATTGAACCGAGCGGTCGCATGTCTGCAGTACAAACAGGCAAAATCGACCGTGATCGAGGGAATGTTTTGGATCCCAAGACCGATCAAGTCACCTGTCACAACTCCAAGGGACTTGATTGTACAAGACAGCGGTAATTGGTGCTCTCAGGGGGAAATCTCCCTACAGCTTAGAGAATTAATCTCTCACATATTACGCAGATTTATCAGGGAGCACCAGGCCTGGACTGGCCATCGGGCACACCGGGAAAATGACCGGTGGGTCACGATGGCCGTGGGCAGGGGAGATCACAGAATCTACACGAGCGCCGGCCCTGCTGTGTGCCTTTGTGGGCCGGTGGGCAGATCAAAGATCTCCCCACCAGCCCAGAGATGCGGCCGCCGGCTGGGGAGTGAGGGAGGCAGGAGAGGACCCGGGGAGCTCTAGCTAGCAGCTCCGCCGGGTCCTCTTGCGAGCCGCGACAGTTAACGCTCACCACTAGGACCACCAGGGAAGGCAGCACGGCACCCTCCTCCATGGAAACCCGACTCCCCCCTTCCTTCTTACCTTTAGCCTGGGGGATATAACTTTTTTAAAATTATTAATAAAAAATATATTTAAATAAAAAAATAAATTCACACTAACAGCCCCTCACACACACTGCACCCCCAGACACACACTGCACCCCCAGACACACACAACACCCCCCAGACACACACAGCACCTCTGCTCACACAACACCCTCAGACAGACACAGCTCCCTCAGACAGACAGCACCCTCATTCACACAGCACCCTCACACACACACACACACACACACACATACACATATATATTTATATATAATATATAAAATAACCCTCCGTGAGTTAACAAACACAAAAAATTAGAAACCTAGAATGTGACGGCAGATAAAAACACCCTCACACACAGCACCCCTCTTACACACACACTGCACCCTTCACACACACACATACACACACACACAATACAGCACCCCTCACACTGCACCACTACACACATTACACTCCAGATATACGCTAGATCCCTTACCCTATATGCACTCTTAACCCTCTACACACACACACACACAATCTCCTATACCCACTCTGGGTCCTTTACACATTAGCTCTCCTAAACACACATACTGCACCACCTACACACACACACTACATTCCTTACAAGCAAACATATACAACACTCTCTAAACACATCCTCTCTACAACCCCTACACACACTGTCACCTATACACACACTACAGCCCGTATGCACACACTCGCTACATCCCCTATAACATTATGCCCCTATACACACACTCTCTACAGCCCCTAGCCACACATATTACACCACAAACACAAATGAAATTGACCTATTTACACAATACCACACTCTACACACACGCAATCCCACAAGCAGGCTCCAAACACATGCACCATACGCTTTCCTGGCCCTTTTGTCCTCTGCTATCGCACTTATGGAGACACAAGACAATTTAAAAGCAAACACAGCGCAAGCATGTTATTAAATTTGCTTGCACTGCGCAGAACACATACAGGGCCTTTTTCTAATGCTAGAACTCTTCAGCAGGGCTCTGGGCATTGAACCAACATGCTCACTTTGAGATGGGGCGTGCTTGTCATTAGTGATGACAAAACACACCCTCTCTGGCCCCACCCCCTTCTTAGGGGGCCGCTCTGATTGAAAAATGCCCAGGCCTAATTTTTTTCCCAGTCCGGCCTCACGTGGCAAAAAACCATGCAGCCATTCACAGTGCTCCTCCGAGCGCGCAACATCTCCTACAGATGGAAGAGATCCCACACACTGATGGTACTGCAGGGCGCTATATCCTACCCAGTCCAAGATCTTGAATGGCCTGGGGCTATTTTGGAAAATCTGGGTCTCCCACAAGACTCTCATGAGCAGGGCAACAGTGACAACGGCCAGAACGCATATCTTGGACCCGGGTAACACAGCCCCATTTGTGCCCCAAAGGCCTTCTGCAGACACCTATGCGGCGGTTACCACATGAACTCCTGCTGTTTGTCTTCTGGAATACTTTTCTGTTTAATTAACCATAGTCCGTACTTATGTTATACGCAAAACAACACATAGGCGAACCCCCATCTATAAGTTCCCTTACGCATTCACCTAAGGGACAGTGGCTACGGGCCTAGTGGAACATCGCCACTTATCTTTCCCCCCCCCTGCCTGCAGTAAGTCTTAGTCGCACTGCCCTTCAACAGCGAGCTGCCCCCACGAATGCCACCAAGGAAGCCACCAGGTAATAAAGGGCACATAATTTTCTCTCACTACCGTGCCTAGCCAGGGCACATATGATGACTTGTCATTACCTAATCAGTGCATATATATTCGTTATCTCTGTGTACCCACAAAATGAAAAAAATTTTTTTTTAAAAAGTGTTGACTGTTTTAGTATGAGATGATGCTCGTGATCGTATTCTGTTAAAACATGGCTCTTTCTAAGTACAATTAATGTAACATTGCACATTTCATTTTTGGTCACGTTATAGCATATGTAAGCTGTTTCAAATTCATGAGATAATACATTGCTCCTTTTTTCAACAGGCGAGCTCAATACTATCGCCCCGATCATTTCAAACTTCTTCCTGTGTTCCTACGCCCTGATTAACTTCAGCTGTTTTCATGCATCGATCACCAACTCCCCAGGTAATTCCCAGATCAGTACTTGCATGGTCACATCTACTCATTCCACCAAGAGAAGAGTATGCACTGTTTGAGACCCCCTCTATGTTTATTAAAAGAGGAAATCATGTCTTTCCTAATAACCATGATGACCTGTGAAATTGGCAACAATATTTGACGTTTGCTTTGAATTACTGGTAGTTCACAGCTAGATTAACGCTGATAGTATTTAATGGGTTACTCCAAGCATCATGACCCCTTTTGTGTTTTTAAAAGTGGTCATCGTGCTTGAGATATTAAATGTTGCATCATTAGTACGTAATTAGCCAGAGGATTTCTGGGCTGGCTAATGTCAATTCTGTGCATATTCTAGGCACAGGAAGTAATTAATTTGCTAAGCGCTCTGCTGACACATTCAGCTAATGAATCAGCAACAGGATCAGTATCAGACTTTTGCAGCTCTGCGGAAGCCAGATGCAGCTCAGCCGGCATCATCGGACCCATGGCACCCAGTGAGACCCTGGTAGGAGGGCAAAATGTTGTCCCATTTCTAATTAATTGCGCTGTAGTGGTCATAATGCTTTAAGTAACTCTTTAATAGACTTGTGCACAGCCACATCTAATTTAAACATTTTATTACATGACACAAGGCTCATATTTTGCTCTCCCTTTATTGACTCCAAACAACAGCAAAGAAAATACATGAAACAAGCAACCAATCAGAAACCAGGAACATGTATATGTTTGCTTCTCCAAGTGGAACACAGTTTAGAGTATTGCTGCTACTCATACAGTGACTTTCTCTGTATATTTTTCTACTTGTTTATTGAACTTTTTTGTTTATGGTTTTATACTTGTGTATCCTTATATTTTTTCCCTACTTCACACTTTTTGCCATTTTTGTTTGAATGTCTTCTCATTTGGGGGACTTCACACTTGGTCAGCAACAAGTTTCTTCATCCACTTTCCTCTGCTTGGAGAGCATGCCTGCACACTGCGGGGTCCCTAAGGAGTGTCTTATCTCTGCAGGAGCCATGACATACTACTGTGGTTGAACTCCACTGTTTTATTAGCGCACATTATCGCATTTGTGAAGCACATACTGAGGTTAACTGCTGCAAGAGAAGTGAGCCCTCTCTCTCATGCAGGCCAAACACTCCACGTCAGTTGGTGATATCTGGCTGGGTGATCATCAGACGGAGTCTTCCTTCATACAAGAGACTATCCTGGGTGATGCACAAGTGAGTCAAGTGGCCTTTCCACCAGATGCGGAAGTCTTCTTCGACAATGCCGGAAACAAAATGTTCAATCCGCAAAACATTAGGTATCCCAGATCCGCTGAATGGGTACTGCCAAATCATCTGGCAAAATGAAGGCACATGTGGCTGAGGAAGCCATTAGAGGAAGATTTGAGGACCCGCCTACATTCCGAGTCCGGTTCTGCCGGATAAGATTTTCCAAACCCCCTGATTTGACTCTGCTGTGCTGACCTTTATGGCTCACTTTGAACGTGATAAGGAGATAGAGAGAGGTCTTCGGGCAGTGCAAGACAAACCTTTAGACTCAACTGGTCCTTTGACCTGCATTATTATTGGGTAAGCTTTCTTAAGGACACATGACATGTGTGACATGTCATGATTCCCTTTTATTCCAGAAGTTTGGTCCTTAAGGGGTTAAAGAACTCCATAAACATGCTAACCTCTTCATACTGCTGAACAGAGCACATACTTCACTCAAAGTCTTCAAATTGACTCTTACGAGGTTTGTTTTTGGGCAGCAGGGCTGTCATTATGCATAGGCACGCTGGCAGTTTCCCAGGATCCACACAACAATGCCCATGTGCCAAGGCCAACAGGGGAGATCCTTTCATCTACCCTGCCAGCCAATGCAAAGCCATTCTCTCTGCCTTCTGAGGTCGGTGGGAAGATGTGTATGTGTGTATTTGGCAGTCTGTTACATAGTTACATGGCTGAAAAGAGACTTGCGTCCATCAAGTTCAGCCTTGTTCACATTTGTTTTTTGCTGTTGATCCAAAAGAAGGCAAAAAAAAAAACAGTTTGACGCACAATTTTGCAACAAGCTAGGAAAAAAATTCCTTCTTGACCCCAGAATGGCAGTCAGATTAATCCTTGGATCAAGCAGTTATTACCCTACATTGAAAGATTATATCCTTGAATATTCTGTTTCTGCAAGTATACATCTAGTAACTGTTTGAACATCTGTATGGACTCTGATAAAACCACTTCTTCAGGCAGATAATTCCACATCCTGATTGTTCTTACAGTAAAAAAAAACTTTCCTTTGCCTTAGACGAAATCTTCTTTCTTCCAGTCTAAACGCATGACCTTGTGTCCTATGTAGAGTCTGGTTTGTGAATAGATTTCCACACAATGGTTTTTATTGGCCCTGAATATATATGTATAATGTTATCCCTCTCAGACGACGTTTTTCTAAACTAAATAGGTTTAAATTTGTTAACCTTTCTTCATAGCTGATATGTTCCATTCCTTTTATTAATTTTATAGCCCGCCTCTGCACTTTTTCTAGTGCCATAATATCCTTCTTTAGAACAGCTGCCCAAAATTGCACAGCATATATATAATATGTGGTTTTACCAGTGATTTATAAAGAGGCAAAATTATATTCTCGTCCCGAGAATGAATGCCCTTTTTCATGCATGACAATACCTTACTGGCCTTAGCCACTGCTGATTGACATTGCACATTGTTGCATAGCTTGTTGTCTATAACAATTCCCAAGTCCTTTTCGTGTGTGGTTATCCCTAATTCGCTTCCATTAAGGGTATACGTTGCTTGTGTATTCTTTACGCCGAAATGCATAACTTTGCATTTTTCAACATTAAATTTCATCTGCCATTTGAGTGCCCAGTCCCCCAGTCTATCTAAATCCCTCTGCAGCAGAGTTTTGTGTCATCTGCAAACACTGAAACATGACTTCCAATGCTGTCTTCAAGATCATTTATAAACATGTTAAATAGAAGGGGTCCCAGAACAGACCCCTGAGAGACACCACTTGCCACCTCTGTCCAGCTTGAAAATTTACCATTAATGACAACTCTTTGTACTCTATTTTTAAGCCAATGTTCTACCCAAGAACAAGCATTTTCATCTAGACCTATTTCCTTGAGTTTGAACACTAGTCTGTGTATGTGTGTATTTGGCAGTCTGTGTATGTGTGTATCTGGCAGTCTGTGTATGTGTGTATCTGGCAGTCTGTGTATGTGTATATTTGGCAGTCTGTGTATGTGTGTATCTGGCAGTCTGTGTATGTGTGTATTTGGCAGTCTGTGTATGTGTGTATTTGGCAGTCTGTGTGTGTGCGTATTTGGCAGTCTGTGTGTTTGTGTGTGTGTGTATTCAACAGTCTGCATGTGTGTGTGTGTTCAGCAGTATGTATGCATGTATGGCATTTGTGTGAGGTACCAATCAATATAAGCTTATTTTTATCGATAATTTACATTTTTATTCCTGTGAGTGGTAGTGTGTAACGGATCGACTGGCACCCCGACTGGGTACCTCCGTTGAAAGATGCTCCTAGCGCTTCCCGAGGACTCCAAGCACTCTGGCAGACACCACAATCACTGAACCGAAGAAGCATATAAATCCTCTCAAGCATATGAATGCTGCAGACAGTTGAATAGGAACCATACGAATAGGTTTACTCTCCTAGCAGTCAAACTGGAACAGCATACAATAAATCCTTCCCCCAATAATGAGACGACACTTCACTTTGAGGGTTAAACAGGAACTCTCTGTACTGTCACATACAGTCTCTTTTATTCCCAATCCACAAACATAGTACAGCCCACAGGGCGTTACAAAACAACCAATCACATAACAGTTACATCCCACATATTCCCTCCCCTTATCCTGAGAGGAAACTCAATTACACATACAGTTAAAACATACTTTCTACCCAACTTTCATAACTTTAAAACTATACATCACATTCACATAAAAATTACATATTCACAATCAATCCATTCAGGGGAACAACATATTCAAAAATGGCACAAATCAGACAAGGGGTTCAAAAGTTAGTAAAAAGTCCTTTGTGACTAAATGAAGCATGGCTTTCTGGCCCAAACCAGTTTCAGAGTCTTCTATCCTGGAGAGTAATTCAATTATCTCCCAGGATAGACACAAGACCCCATTAAGCACATGGTTGCAAAAAGACACAAAACACTTTAAAATACATAAAGTCACATTTACACATAACACACAGACATTTCACATATCCCCAGATAGCTGGGATCTGAGTGCACATTATTAGATAAATTGCACTCAGATCACACAAATAAGCCTTTCTGCAGGGGAAATAAACGGTTTAACCTGCCGGGCCATAGTCCAAAGGGAGCAGGCGAGCAACCAGGCTTCTCCAGTTCACAGTGGCGAGGTTGGTTTCGCCACACTTCTCCCCTTTACCAACTAGACTAACAGGGTATCTGACCTCCTGCCGGTCAGTGCCCTGGTTAGTCCAGCAACCCACCCACAAAACAGAAACAGCAGTACAGCCTACCCACAATAACTGGTTACTACACCTGGGTAGAGGAGAACTTTGTCCATGTCCAGGTGCCTCACCACGACTGTGTGGGCAACTGTTAGGCTGCCTTGGTGGGTTGCTGAGTGGGCAGAGACCAGCGGTACTATGCCCTGGTGCAGCACTACCACGGGAGTAGTCTGGTTGGAGCCTGGTTGCTGGAGGGGGAGACAGACTGTCTCCCCTTTGCCTAAACAGTCCTGCTGCTGGGGGACAGGACCGCCTGTCCCTACCCCCGGTGGTGCATGTGCAGAGACCACTGTCCCATCTGCACTGTTGTGGAGATTACTGTCTCCCCTTGGTGGGCTAAGCTGCTGCTGGGGAGAGGGTGTAACAAGCTCCTCTCCCATACATACTTTCAGCCGCTGGGGAGAGGGGATAACAAGCTCCTCTCCCTGACACTCTCTCTGCTGTTGAAGGGGGAGACCGACTGTCTCCCCTTTCAATAATTTGTCCTGTTGCTGGGGAGAGGTGATAACTGGTTCCTCTCCCTGGAACACTCTCTGCTGTTGGAGAGGGGGACCAACTGTCTCCCCTTTTTAATATATTGTCCTACTGCTGGGGAGCGAGACCGAGTGTCTCCGCTTCCTGCAGGACACACTGCCGCTGGGGAGGAAGTACGGCACCTTCAGCTCCCTGGGATACATACTGCCGCTGGGGAGGAAGGACGACACCTTCAGCTCCCTGGGGTACACACTGCCGCTGGGGAAGAAGGACGACACCTTTGGCTCCCTGGGACTCACACTGCCGCTGGGGAGGAAGGACGGCACCTTCAGCTCCCTGGGGTACACACTGCCGCTGGGGAGGAAGGACGGCACCTTCAGCTCCCTGGGATACACACTGCCGCTGGGGAGGAAGGACGGCACCTTCAGCTCCCTGGGATACACACTGCTGCTGGGGAGGAAGGACGACACCTTCAGCTCCCTGGGATACACACTGCCGCTGGGGAGGAAGGACGGCACCTTTGGCTCCCTGGGACACACACTGCCGCTGGGGAGGAAGGACGACACCTTCAGCTCCCTGGGATACACACTGCCGCTGGGGAGGAAGGACGGCACCTTCAGCTCCCTGGGACACACACTGCCGCTGGGGAGGAAGGATGACACCTTTGGCTCCCTGGGACACACACTGCCGCTGGGGAGGAAGGACAACACCTTCTGCTCCCTGGGGTACACACTGCCGCTGGGGAGGAAGGACGACACCTTTGGCTCCCTGGGACTCACACTGCCGCTGGGGAGGAAGGACAACACCTTCTGCTCCCTGGGGTACACACTGCTGCTGGGGAGGAAGGACGACACCTTTGGCTCCCTGGGACTCCTTTTTGGCCAAATCTACTAGAGATTGCAGGTATTCTCCTACTAGTTTCCTGGCGAGCTGCACGGCTCTCTCTGGGGGGTTGGGTCCAAAGGTAGACAGCACCTCATTAACCTCTCTGTCAAACTCCTCCTGAGTGTAGTCATACGCCATGCTTGCTCTGCTGAAGTTAGTTCTTTTGTAGATAGGGTCGCTGTACGGGTACTAGCGTTGCCCTCAATTTGTAAATCCACGAACTGTGTCTCAGAGCTGCTTTACCTCGCACTAGGACGCCATCCCACCGCTGCCACCAATGTAACGGATCGACCTGGCACCCCGACTGGGTACCTCCGTTGAAAGATGCTCCTAGCGCTTCCTGAGGACTCCAAGCACTGCAGCAGACACCACAATCACTGAACCAAGAAGCATATAATCTCTCAAGCATATGAATGCTGTAGACAGTTGAATAGGAACCATGCGAATAGGTTTACTCTCCTAGCAGTCAAACTGGAACAGCATACAATAAATCCTTCCCCCAATAATGAGACGACACTTCACTTTGAGGGTTAAAACAGGAACTCCCTGTACTGTCACATACAGTCTCTTTTATTCCCAATCCACAAACATAGTACAGCCCACAGGGCGTTACAAAACAACCAATCACATCACAGTTACATCCCACATATTCCCTCCCCTTATCCTGAGAGGAAACTCAATTATACATACAGTTAAAACATACTTTCTACCCAACTTTCATAACTCCAAAACCATACATCACATTCACATAAAATTACATATTCACAATCAATCCATTCAGGGGAACAACATATTCAAAAATGGCACAAATCAGACAAGGGGTTCAAAAGTTAGTAAAAAGTCCTTTGTGACTAAATGAAGCATGGCTTTCTGGCCCAAACCAGTTTCAGAGTCTTCTATCCTGGAGATAAGTAATTCAATTATCTCCCAGGATAGACACAAGACTCCATTAAGCACATGGTTGCAAAAAGACACAAAACACTTTAAAATACATAAAGTCACATTTACACATAACACACAGACATTTCACATATCCCCAGATAGCTGGGATCTGAGTGCACATTATTAGATGAATGGCACTCAGATCACACAAATAAGCCTTTCTGCAGGGGAAATAAACGGTTTAACCTGCCGGGCCATAGTCCAAAGGGAGCAGGCGAGCAACCAGGCTTCTCCAGTTCACAGTGGCGAGGTTGGTTTCGCCACATAGTGTAAGCGTGGCCCCAGTGCATTGTTTTTCCTGAGGGTCTGTAGTGCTGTTAAGATGTCCCTGTTGGATAGGGTGGATGATTTTTCCAGAAGTGGGAAGAACTGTTGTCGTACACCTGGATCCTAAGCACTGTCTGTGGGTACGAGATGGAGATTACACATACCCCGGTACAGAGGCCCCCAGCTCGACCCATTCGTTGGTCAAGGGACGATGCTCATCTCATCGACGTAGAGATTCAGGACCTCAGGAGAAAGGTGTTATTCAACCAACACACGATTGTGGAGGATTCTTCAGCAATATTTTCCCCGTAACAAAAAAGACAAGATTTCCGTCCAGTAATTAATCTGTGGGATATCAACACTTAAGTGGCATACTTCAAAATGTAAGGTATTCAATTATTCTGGGACGTTCTCTGGTTTATGCACCTGATTCTCATTTTCAAGGATGCCTATATGTCAGTGCCCATCCATCTAGCAAGTAAGCGTTATCTGCGTTTTCACTGACGTGTTCTTCCCTGGCAGTTAACCTAACTCCCTTTCAGGCTCTGCCATGGTGTGTTACCAAATTCCTCAAGGCATATGTGCCGTGATCCAAGTTATGGCTTTCGTTGTATTGTTTGGACTATATTTTCATTTTCTGCTCTGAAGCATCAAGGTTACAATGATGAACTCTCTTCATGGTACATTTTGTTTTGAATCTCTTGGTTTTGTTGTGAATTGTCCCAAGTCCACACTGGTGCCAACTCAGAAGTTTCTATTTCTAGGTTTCAAGATTGACTCTGCTTTGTGCATGATCCGGCTCCCATCCTCAAAAGTGGCCTTGATTAACAGGGAAATTTATTGAGAGCTTATACCTCTGTGCCATTTTACTCTGGCCACTCCATTAGAGGAAGATGCACTGGTTGAAAGCCAGATTCCTACAGCAATCTCAATTGTGCGCACTAGTTATCCTGCTGATGGAGGAGGTGCAGCACGAGTTACAAGGGCGGCTGTTGCACACACAGGCCTAGAATAGTCAGGCCCTCTTCAGATCGAGTCTGGACTTTCTTCTAGAGTTTGACACCAGTCTCTGTGAGTGGGACACAACCTGCACAGAATTCTTCACTAGGAGTGTATGGTTCACAGCCGTATCTACACTCCATATCAACTGTGTAGAACTTCTAGCGGGTTCATTTGCCATCCTCAGTTTTGCGAGAGACTGTTCGAATTGTTGTATTCTGCTCCGGATGGATATCTCAGTGGTGTGGTAGAATAACCGACTAGACGGAGCTTAATACTGGCTTCTTTAAGACATTCCTAAGGACATCTACGTGTTTTATCTTTTCTGCAACATCGCGCTATGCGTGCAATACCAGGAGAGACAAACTTTACCTCGGATTGGTTACCCAGACATTGGAGAGATTCCAGCGACGGGAAGCTCAATGTTCAGATCTTCGTCCGGCTCTCTGATCTCCAGAGGTCTTTCTCAATAGATTTTCCAGGTGTAGAAATTTTAAAGTTGGCTTCCAGATCTGGATTGCAAGATTGTGACTGCGTTCCTTCGAACGTGGCCTCCTCAAGGATCATATACATTTCCCTCATTTGCAGTGCAAGTGAGGGTGATTTTTCAACTGCATGTACAGGGAGTATCGCTTCTGTTGATCACCCCATTCTGGCAGAGCCAGCCATGGTTCCCATATCTACTGGAACTGTCATATATGCACCTGCTTTCCTTTCATAGATCTTTTCATCCATTAGTTGTGGAGGGCCATCTACTCCTAGTTGCCTGGATGTTTTCTGAGGAGCTGTTGCAACAGCCAAAAGACCTGTTATGGGACTTGTGGGCTCCAGGAACTAGGAAATGTTACCTATCTGCATGGGTGTCCTGGTATCGCTGGAGTCTGGAAAGGGACTGCAATACTTTTAATACCCCTTCTATACTATTCAGAATTTTCTTTCATCTCTATTTTTTTTTTCTCCGAGTCGTTCATACTGTTCTAGTAACATTATGTACTTGGATATCTCCACAGCTTATGTTTCTGTTCGTTGGCCAGGGCCCTCTCATTTGCCGCCTTATGCGGGTTATCCATCTTCAATGCCCTCCTGGTTCTAAATTCTCTCTTATGGGATGTAGCTCTCGTTTTGTGTTTTTTACAGGATTGGCCCGATAATGAAGATCTTTCTTTGTCAGTTGTTGGCAAAGTTCACACTTCTTTTATGTTTGGCTTTGTTTCGTCGGGTAGTCAAAATTCGGGGCACTGTCAGTTTTTGGTACGGCCATGTCTTCAGCATTTTCGTCCAGTGTGTGTCTATCCAACATGCCATGGTTGATTGGTCACAGGAGGATGCCTTTCTGACCTTTTTTTTCTGCCCTTCATCTCACGCTGCTTTTTCTCTCTTGTCATAGTGTAAAATGGCATAATATGAGTATCCTGTCATGTAATAAAATTGAAGATTATGCTAGATTTATTGTACTTACAATCTTAATTTTATTAATGACTGGAGGCATATATTTTTCCTCCCATGCCCACTCTTATTTTGGCTATTCTTGGATTTATACGCATTTGTTTCATGATGTATGTATTAACTTGTTTGCACTTTTGGTAACTTATTCTGTTTTAGTTTATATATATTAAATTTAGTTGACATATTGAATGGATATGCCCTGTTCATATGTTGTTACTATCCTGACATTGCACAATTTCAGTGTTCTTTCACGTTTTCTTTCCCTTTCAGTTTGAGTCAGTGGACATTCTTTTTGGTCCTTGATCTACAATACCTTTGCCTGATTACCTTGGTTCTAAATTGGATTTCCAGACTTTTGACATTTATCTGTCATATTGCCTTATTAGTTATGCATCTTTTCACAGCAAGAAAGAGGAGGTGCTTAATTTATCTTATCCTTATATAAATTTTCCTTGTTCTCGATTGGTTACTTGTTTCATACATTTTAGTCCATACAGGAAGATAAGGAAAATACTCACTTCCTTTCATTATTAAAATGAAGATTATAGATACACTAAAGTTGGCATAATCTTAAATTTCAGGCCAAAATAACAAAACTGAAAATTTTGTAAACACATTTTCCTAAAATTTGAAAGACACTGAATTTCTACCTGATGGTAATCATCATATTTTGTTTGCCAAAATACCTCAGATAAAAAAATCTGGTTGTTTTGGCAGAAGTAAAATTAACTGTGTGCCAGTGATGCCATTAGCGCCATAATCCAAAAAGTGGGGTTGCTGAGCCCAGTATGAATCCAGACCAGACTGACTGGCTGCTGTTCTGCCAACCTCCACTCACGACAGCCCATGTGCTCCCACATGAGCTAAATTCCCTGTGTGTATGAATTATGTCGGGCAAGCACTTAATGATGCTCTCGTGCTGCGCTTTATGGGGACCCAGAATTATGGTTTGTCCAACCCAAAATGGGACAGTTGAGAAGTATGGGATGGTTTAATGAGAGTAAAGATACCACAATATTTGGTAAATGGTATGGCTGTATTAATACTGTTCCTTGTCCCCTTAGGATGGAGACCTTCATTTAAATACTACAGTAAATGGGCATCACTTTTTGGGTCAGTAGTGTCTGTCATCATCATGTTCCTCCTTGCCTGGGAGTCAGCCCTGATTGCCATCGGTATTGTAATTTTCCTGCTTGGATATGTGCTGTACAAAAAGCCAGGTACGTCCTGTATCCTCTGCTTGTTCACAAGAATTTTAATTTACCTTGATTGCTGTCCTGCTTATCCACAAGAGTTCTAAGCTATTCTGATTGCTGTCTGGTGTAAATATAGTAGTTCTAGTATATGTCCCCATAACTTATCTATAAATACATGCCTTAACATATTTCTACTTTTCTTTGTAGAAGCAAACTGGGGCTCGTCTGTCCAGGCAGGATCATATAACATGGCTCTTTCTTACTGCGTGGGGCTCAACCAAGTAGAAGAGCACATTAAAAACTTCAGGTGAAGTGAGCGGGTTTGCCAGAATCGCAAAACCAAACAACTCAATATCCCTTCTTCTCCATGAATCCTGTCTTGCCTAACCTCACCCACCACTCTCTAGGTCAACACCTCGCACTATACCAATATATTTCATGAAGTCTCATAATGTCCACCTAACTCCTTTCCGTCGTGTTTGATTACACACTCTGCATTCCATTCTATTCCACATACTTCTCAACATGCTTCACTGTTATTACACTGCTCGTGTGAAACGCTCTCTCTTCAAACTCTTTTATTGTGTCCAGTGGTGTATCCTGGTTTTGTGCTGCCCCACCCCCACCCAATCCTTCCCCCCCCCGCCCCACCTTCTAAATACACACACACACACACACAAACAGTCAGACACACACACACACACACACACACACACACACACAGTCAGACACACACACACAGTCAGACACACACACAAACACAGACACAAAAACACACACAGTCAGACACACACAAACACACAGTCAGACACAAACACACACACAGACAGACACAAACACACACACAGTCAGACACAAACACACACACAGTCAGACACAAACACACACACAGTCAGACACACACACAGTCAGACACACACACAGTCAGACACACACACACAGACACAAAACACAAAACACACACAGACACAAAACACACACAGTCAGACACAGTCAGACACAAACACACACAGACACAGTCAGACACACACACACAGACACAGTCAGACACACACACACAGACACACACACAGCCAGACACACACAAACACAGTCGCACAAACGCACGGTCACGCAACGCACATGCAGTCAGACACAGACGCACGAGCACACGGTCGGGCAGTCACACACAAACACACAGTCAGACACAGACACACACACACAAACACACAGTCAGACACAGACAAACACACAGTCAGACACAAACACAAACACACACACACACAGTCACACAGAAACACACACAGTCAGACACACACACAGTCAGACACAAAACACACACAGTCAGTCAGACACAAACACACAGACACACACAAACACACACAGTCAGTCAGACACAAACACACAGACACACACAAACACACACAGTCAGACACAAATACACACACAGTCACACACACACAGACACAGTCAGACACAAACACACACACAGACACACACAGTCAGACACAAACACACACACAGTCAAACACACACACACACAGACACAAACACACAGTCAGTCACACACACACACAGTCAGACACAAACACACACAGACACAAACACAGTCAGACACAAACACACAGTCACAAACAAACACACAGGTCAGACATACACAGACAGTCAGACACAAACACAGGAACACAAACACACACACACAGTCAGACACAAACACACAACATAAACACAGCCGACACAAACACACACAGCCCACAAACACACAGCCCACACAGTCAGACACAAACACACACACAGTCAGACACAAACACACACACAGTCAGACACAAACACAAACACATAGTCAGACACATACACAGACACACACACAGTCAGACACAAACACACACACACAGTCAGACACAAACACACACACACACACACAGTCAGACACAAACACACACACACAGTCAGATACAAACACACACACAGTCAGACACAAACACACACACACAGAGTCAGACACACACACAATCACTCACATTAACTTTTTTTTTATTTAAACCCCCCCAACCTCCTTACCTTTGGGAGTGCTGGGGGGGGGGTCTCTCTCTGTGTGTGTCTGACCCTGGTGGTCCAGTGGCTGCCTGTCGGGCTGGGCGGCGCTGGGCTGGGCTGGGCGGGCGGCCGGCGAGGGAGCTCTTCCTCTGAGCACTCTGCTCAGCTCCCTCGCGCGCCGCACAGTGAGGCTGGGAGCCGGAATATGACGTCATATTCCGGCTCCCAGCCTCACTCTGCGGCGCACGAGAGAGCTGAGCGGACAGCTCAGAGGAAGAGCTCCCTCGCCAGCCGCCCGCCCGCTCGGTATGTCTGTTAGCTGCAAGGCTAACAAGGCATTTGCCCTGGGCATTTGGGGGCGGCGTTTTTTGCCGCCCCCTGAAAAATGCCGCCCAAGGCAAATGCCTTGTTTGTCTCGCGGCTAATACGCCCCTGCATACACACACTCACTCACTCACAGACACACAGTGACAGACATACACTCACACACTTACAGACACACACATACACACACATTCACAGACTCACACTGACAGACACACACAATCACTCAGATACAAACACACATTCACTGACAGACACAAACTCACAGACACACAAACACTCACAGACACACACTCATTCACAGACACACACACACTCACTCACAGACATACTGACAGGCATACACACATTCACTGACACTCACAGACACACACTGAGATATACACACAGACACACTGACAGACACACATACTGACAGACATACACACACAGACAGACACACAATGACAGACATGCACACTGACAGACACACACACTGACAGACATACACACACACATTCCTTCTCCCCAACACTCACAGATATTTTTATTTTAATTTAAATAGACCCAGTCTCCCTACCTTTGGGAGAGCTGGGTTGATTTTTTTACATGGGGTCCAGTGGGGCTGCTGGCCAGGCTGTTGTGGAAGGCTGGCGTGCAGGCAGGCGGGTGGCCAGTTAAGGTCCAGGCAGGCATGATGTCATATTCCAGCTACCGGCATCACTCTACGGCCCACCTGTTGCTCAGCTTTCATGACATTTGCCTGGGCATTTGGCTGCAGAGTTTTTTTGCTGCCCCCTGGAAAGTGCCGCCCAAGGCAAATGCCTTGTTTGCTTCGCGGCAAATAATCAGTGACATCACTAATCAGTGCTCCCTCGCCAGCGCCGCCCGCCCACATGGATTCTTAGTTAGCCGCCAGCCTGCCTCCCTTCCTGTCTGAAGGGACCCCAGGTAAAAAAAAATCCACCCAGCACTCCCAAAGGTAGGGAGGCTGGGTGGATTTAAACTAAAAAAGAAAAAGTAATCGGTTAATGCTTGGGGAGGGACTGTCAGTGTGTGTATGTCTGAGTGATTGTGTGTGTCTGGCTGTCAGTGTGTATGTCTGGCTGTCAGTGTGTATATATCTGTCAGTGTGTATGTATGTCTGTCAGTGTGTATGTATGTCTGTCCGTGTGTATCTTAGTGATTGTGTGTGTCTGGCTGTCAGCGTGTGTATGTCAGTGTGTATGTCTGGCTGTCAGTGTGTGTATGTCTGTCAGTGTGTATGTCTGGCTGTCAGTGCGTGTATGTCTGTCAGTGTGTATATGAGTGATTGTGTATGTATGTCTGTCAGTGTGTGTATGTCTGGCTGTCAGTGTGTGTATGTCTGTCAGTGCGTATGTGAGTGATTGTGTGTGCATGTCTGTCAGTGTGTATCTGAGTGATCGTGTGTGGATGTCTGTCAGTGTGTCTGTCACTGTGTGGCTGTCTGTCAGTGAGTGAGAGTGTGTCTGTCAGTGAATATGTGTTTGTTTCTAAACGATTGCGTCTGTGAGGGCGACTGTGTGTCTGAGTGAATGTGTGTGATTGTGTATGCTTGTCAGTGTGTGTGTCTGCGTCATTGTCTGTGTATGTCAGTGAGTCAGTGATTGTTTTTGTCAAATCAGTGTGTGTATGTCAGTGTATCTGAGAGTGTGTCTGTCAGTCAAAGTGTGTGTTAGTCGTTTAACAGAAAGAGGTGTGGCATTGACAGGAAGGGGTGGGACAAATGTAAATTAGGGGGTGCCAGAGTTCCGTCATGCCTAGGGCAGCACAGATACTATATACATCACTGGTGCCACTGAATGGTTAAGAGAGGTCTCCTGATGATCCAAGCCAGCCAGTTGCTCCCCATTCATAAAAAGGTATGTTTTTTTTAAGCATATAAAGAGTTTTTATTTTTCAGGCTCGATTTCAGCAAGTCACAATGAAATTTACAGATAATTATTTTTTCCAAAAGGATATTATAATTATTTAATAAAATAAATAAAAACAAGTTAAGTACAATAAATATTCATTAAAATGCAATTTATCGGAAATAGTATGGCTTCTTCAGTTGATGATAAATAAAACCCACAGGTAACACATCTATAAACAAACTGTATGTCTAATATCCAATCACAACATTTGCAATAAAAACACAATTGATAACATCAAGCAGCATTTTCCATGTTCATGGCTCTTCCCACACTGACACATCTTTGTTCTCACTCAAATTCCAGGCAGAGTATCTCTTCCAGGATGCAGATAAGTTACAATATAGTGCGCATGTCCGTAAATTAAGTCCCCAATACTAATTCTAAAAAAATCTCAATATCGTTGTTGGAGTTATGCACTCCATTATATCACATTGGGTTTTCAGAAAGGGATAGACAGAGATCTCATATCTTGTGTGTCGGAATGTCTTTGTGAGTCTGTATCTCTGTCTGTCTGGCATGTTGGGAAGCATGTTATTCATTAGAATAATGAAACCTGATTCAGTTGAACCACAGTGGAACAGAGTTCTCTTGTAATAGTTTTATCTCTACAGAAAAAAATTCTAAATTTTAACAAATTAGAAAGTCAGCATTTTAATTAAATGTAGTTTTATAAATAAATAACGCTGACATCTAAAATAAACGTAACAGTGCTTGACAACTCATAAATAACAGACAGAATTTTTTTTAAATATAAAGTTGTGCAACTTTATATATAATTATTTTCTGTCTTTTGTATTGTTGTTGTTTTTTGTCTTTTGGTGTGCGAGTTAGTACAGACAAGCTTCCCACAATAGGATTTACAGCAAGTAGCAATGCACATTTTAAGTTAACTATGAACAACAGTAAACTAGCTAGGCAATTCTGGTTAAGTGAATGTAAAAAGCTCTACATCTGTATCTTCTCCCCCAAAAGCTCCCCACTACCACTTCAGCATTGTGTAACTCTTCCACTTTGATAACCTTTAAATCTACATTCCTTCCACCTTGTTCTTTTTTATACATACCCTGTGTGACTCTGCCATTGTCTTTAATGCCACCACTGATCTCAGGTGTTGTTCTCTACAATTACCATGATTGCATGTCATTTTTATTGTATTTACATTGCAGACTTTAGCAATCAATCTTCTATCTGGATACTCTGTACTGTGTCTGTACTGTGTAATTATATCCCACTCCCTTTAGAATGTGAGTTAATGGCACATGGTGAGTGAGGCCATTACCACCCTTTGTTCTTGTATTCTGTACTGAACATTATGTATTGGATACTGCACAGCATAATATATTTACGCTTTATAAATACAGGAATGATAGTAATAATTTCACAGATAATTATTGGTGATCTAGCAACTGAGTTTGATAAAATGTATATCATGGCTCACTTGCTGGTTAATGCATCAAAACTCCCTGAAAAACTCTGCAGTCTTCTGAAAAACTACTTGCCAGCGTCTTTGAATGGGGAGAATCAATATACTGAAACAATACATGTGGAAGATCCAGTAAGAAGGAAGTGATTGATTTCTAAGACACTTGTCTGTTTAACAGGTGTAAGATGTAAAATAAAACACTATAATTCTTACCTGAGACTGAATAAGACATTACCATCTGGGTACACTCGCAGCATGATGTTTTCCATAGTGGTATCGTGTATGAATGATCTCTTTGAATGTACAAAGAACACATCCGGAACCCAGATCTTTTTTATTAGTCGTCCATCAAATGTCATACTTCTGTTGTTATTACTTTGGAATGAGAGCCTCTCGTCCTTCCAGTAATGCCTGAGGTATAATGTCATCGTGAAATCCTTGGAGGGAACAACAGATACAATAATCATCGTAATGTCACATAAACATTGATAGAAGAAGTATAATAATTATTAATGATCCAACAAACAAAAGGTATAATAGCTTTTGTAATGTAGGGGTGCTTTAGGTTTGTCAACAGCAGAAGTACTGTGTTCAATCAAGTTGTGTTTGCTGTCACCGAGTATGAAAATATCTGCCATGTGAAGCCACCACAATTATTTAACAACTGTCTTTGCACAGGTTTACAACCTTGTTTTCTGTACTGACATTGAAGGACTTCTCAAAGTATTGGGTTGTGAGCATAACCCACAGAATGACGTATCTTTATTGGTTTATAATTTCTAAGCCTCAAGGCTGCCTTGTTAGAAAATGGCAATGTCCACCCTTCAATACCTGTTGGCTATGCTGCACACATGACAAAAACATGAGAGAACATGGAACTGCGGTTCAGCACACCTACTACAATTGGAACATCTGTGGAGATGCCGTTGTTACATTTGCGAATGGCACATCTTGTTTTGAGTCACATTACATTAAAAAGAATTGTCTGTTCCATAAGAATTTGCTTCCAGGACAGAAAATTGTGGCAAATGATTGACTTGTCATTGAGACATAGATATGCTTGCCTCCTTCCACATAAAACTGCGACTGATAACAAAAAATATGTGAAAGCATTATGCAATTAAACACGTTATAGTCAACAGAACTTCGTTTCAAAATTCCCATGTGATACAGTCATTCTGAAATTCTAAAATTATATTTTCGTTCACTTTAATGGGGTCTTTAATAATCATCAAAATAGTTTCAGGAAGAAAAACTTTGAAAAACAATTGTTGTGTAGACGAAGGTTTTAGTTAGTTACATGCAGCGAGGCATTCTTAATCATTGCATGTATTTCCCAATAGTTTGTTAAAGGATTAATGTAATTATCACACAATCAAACTTACCATGTCAACCTCTGAGATGCTGTCAATACTCTCTATCTGCACGTCAATGCCAACAGGTATAGCTGAACCTTAAAAATAGAAACACAGTTATAAGTGATCACTATAAACACAGTTTTAAATCACCAAGGAAACAACTGTGAGAGACTTTCTTTATCATCACGTTTTTTTCCACAACTTTAACCCATTAAAAAGCATTGTGAGAATAATTCCATCATCACAAACCAGCCTTGAAATATATCCATTATCAAAGGGGAATGTCCCACCCAGTTAACAAGTACAGGGATTTATAAAGCCTTACATGCAAAATAAGGTGGATACTTAATAGCACAAACCTAATTGTGACCTTTAAAGGGTTATGAATTGGGTCTTTAAGGACATAGTTTACAGTAATCAAGGGTTAACAAAAGACTCAAGTCCATCAAGTTCAAGTTTTAAAACTCCAAATTTTATTCTGATGATCCAAAAGAAGGCAAAAAAAATAACTATTTGATGTGATGGCCAATTATGCCAAAAAAAGGACTTCATAATGACTCCATAAAGGCAATCAGATTTCTCCTCAGATCTACAACCTGTTCCATACTTTAATGTACTGCTCTTCCAAAAATAATGAATCTAAACTTTTCTTTAAATACCTGCTGAATCTGATACGACGACTTTGGACAAAAAAAAAAAAATCCATATCGTTATTGTTCTCACTATAAAGAACAGCTTTCTTCCAGTCTCAATGTATGACCTCTTGTCTGTTGTATATTCCTGCTAATAAACAGGTTAGCACATAGTGGTTCGTACCGACACTGTATATTGTTGTATAATGTTATCATATCCCATGTGAGATGCCTTTTTTCCCAAAAAAAAAATAATTGCAGTTTTTCTACCCTTTCTTGACAAGTTCTGTTTGCCAACCAAGCTCTACAAATGTTTAAACTTTTTTTAGTTCTATAGTATCCTTCTCTACAACTGGTGCCCAAATTGCACCACATATTTAAGGTGGGCAATGCATTTAGAATAGGCAGCAAAATGCAGCCTTAAACTCTTAAAGGAAACCTATATTCTATAAGATAGTATTAGATAATTTATTTTAAAAATCTCTGCTTGAAATCACATTATTTCTTCATTATCACACACCACGAACATAAGAATTTCACAGCATTTTACTTCAGTTACTTTTGAACAGCACATATAGAGAAATGCGTTGGGCTGTCCATTATATATTTGCAATTCTCTCACATATTCCTTGCTGTATACTCACCTTGGTTTTGTGTTTCAATAAAAAGTAATGAAATGTAACTACAGATAATTAGTTCTAGTTAAATGATCTTTCTCACACTTCGGCTGATAAATGCCACAATTCTTCGAAGTGGCCTAATACAACTGTATCACAGCCAACATGAATTATAACACAAATTAGATTGTTTAAAGGGATAATCCAACCAAAAATAGTGTTTGACAAAACACTATTTTTGGTTAGAGCAATCCTTACCATCCTACCCCCTCCCATCTTTAAAAAAAAACTAAACAAAAATGAAAGCTAAAACTTACCTCTGTTCCAGAGGTAAGTTATTTCCTCAGCCCTTGCTGAGGATGTGCTGAGGAGAAGGGTGTCACAGAGGGGAGGCCATGCTGCCATTGGATGCATGTCTCCAGCCTGCTGTGCGTACTGATGTCAGATGTGCAATATGAACAGAACTGGCATTAGCTAGTTCTACTGTACCAGGCTGGCTAATGGTGTCCCAATGACGCTGCCAGAGATGGAGTTACACGTCCAGCAACAATTGGGTTAATCTCCTTATGAGCATTATAGCCAAATGCTGAACATACAGTCACCATAACCACTTCAAATCGCTGACCTGGTCATGGTACTTGGAGGAACCCTTTGATGTTGGCTGAGAAAGACAAAGTAATGGCATTTTAATAAAGTAATATTTTTATTACATTATTATTATTACTGGCATTTATAAAGTGCCAACATATTCCATAGCACTGTACAATTGGGAAAAAGACAAAACAATAAGAACAGACTTATACAGGTAGAGGTTGCATAAAAATGACTGTTAGTGCTCAGGTTCAAGCATTTTATTAATTTTGGGGAATATTACAACCCATGCCAGCTAAGCTATCAATAAAAAATTTTGGCAAACAGCTGCCAGGTGAAAAAAAAAATCATTAGGCAGATTCTGCTTATATTTTTCCTCATATGACCTTCTCAGCATGTATTTGAAGGGATACACTGATTCATATTTCCTACATAGTCCAATTGAGGGAACCAGTGAAACAACTATTTACATTCATAAGTCGCCTAGACAGTGGTGTATTCTGGTTTTGTGCTGCCCTAGGCATGAAAAAGGTACATATCAGTTGTTACTCTCAGTTGCACAAGGTCCGAGGCTTTTTGATTGAAGCCTCAAATATTGAGCAGGTGCAGACTGATCGGGCGCTGGCTGGCAGACTATAGGGATATTTTATTAATTAGCAATTTAACCCCTTCAGGTTAGATTGTGCCCTGGGACCTCCTCCAACCATAACAACTTAATTATAAAAGTTTTTATGGAACCTATTCCTATTTGGAATGAACCAATCAATTAACTACAGTGGAACTGTATAGAGGTACCAATGCTAAATAAACAGGACATTCCATGCTGTCATAGTGACTAGAATGAAAAGACTGGATATTGGCAAAATGTACCATTTGGTCCATAATATCTCTTCACAGATCCATAGGTATGCCCCTCCTCGTTCCCTCCGCTCTGCCTGTGACCACCTCCTGACTGCTGCTCGCATCCGTACGGCCAACTCGCGCTTGCAGGACTTCTCACGGGTGGCTACCTTCCTAGGGAATAACCTGCCTACCGCCATCAGACTCTCCCCTAGTCTTCAATCCTTTAAGAAGTGCCTTAAAACCCAGCTTATGGCCTCCCAGAGTAACCTCTACCTTACATACCTGTCTCTTGCTCTCAGCTCCAGCAGTGCTTTACTCTCTCCTCCAGCAATTCTTCACTCCCACCTTATTTGATTGATATACACAGACACACACATATGCTCACTGACAGATACTCACTGACAAATACACATTCACTGACAGACACAAATACACTAGCTGACAGACACACACTCTCAGTGACAGACACGCATACACCCACTGATAGACATGGATATACACACTGACACACGCTGAAACATACATATACTGACACTCACATACACACACAAACAGAAACACACTCTCAGTGACAGATACACATGCACTGACAGACACACACACTCACTGACAAACACATATACACTCTCACTGTCAAGCACACATACACACTCACTAACACATACACTCTCACTAACACATACACTCTCAGTGACAGACACACACTCACTAACACACACTCTCACTAACAGACACACACACACTCTCAATAACACTCTTACTAACACTCACTAACAGACACACACACACTAACACACCAACACTCACTAACAGACACACACAAACACTCACTAACAGACACAAACTAACACACTCACTAACTTAAACACACTAACACTCACTAACAGATCCCCACTAACACATTCACTAACAGACACACACAAATACTCGCTAACAGACACACACTAACAGACACACACTAACACTCACTAACAGACACACACTAACACACTCTCTAACAGACACACAATAACTCACTAACAGACACACACTAACACACTCACTAAAAGACACACACTAACACTCACTAACAGACCCCCACTAACACACACAATAACACACTCACTAACAAACACACACTAATACTCACTAACAGGCACACACTGGGCTGAGCGGCTGGCGTGTGGGCTAAGGATGGAGGCGGGCGGCGGGGGAGCTCTGATCTTCCTGCTCAGATACCTTGCGTGCCTTTTAGTGATGCCGGGGCCAGAGTGACATCATATTCTGGCTCCAGCATTACTGCGGGGCTCAGATAGCTCAGCAGGAGAGAGCTCAGGGCAGAGTGCTCCCTAACCACCTGCGCACAAACATAACAGATGCCAGCCTCAGAGGGGCCATAATTGTGTGTGTTAGTGTGTGTCTGTTATTGTGTGTCTGTTAGTGAATGTTAGTGTGTGTGTCTGTTAGTGAGTGTGTTAGTGTGTGTGTCTGTTAGTGTGTGTTAGTGTGTGTGAGTGTGTGTGTGTCTCTTAGTGACTGTGTTAGTGTGTGTCTATTAGTGAGTGTGTTAGTGAGTGTTAGTTTGTGTATGTTAGTGAGTGTGTTAGTGGGGATCTGTTAGTGAGTGTTAGTGTGTGTCTGTTAGTGAGTGTTATTGTGTGTCTGTTAGTAAGTGTGTTAGTGTGTGTCTGTTTATAAGTGTGTTAGTGTCAGTGTATGTTAGTGAGTGGTAGTTTGTGTGTGTGTGGTGGGACTGCTGGCTGTCCATGAATTGCTCTCTTCTATATTTGTAGATTCCCCATTACAAAATGTGTGTTTCCACATGTAGTTTTATTTTAACTGTGTAATATGCCTTTTGACCGTTGGGGGCGCTCCGGAGCCCCATTAGAATGTTCCCACCAATTAATCAGAATGTTCGCACTTGCAACATAGGTGTGAAACCTTAAGGGAAGTAATTATTGAGCGCTCCCCTGGGTGGTCACCAGGGGGAGCATTCCTTTGGGTAAGCGTTCGGGTCCCTGATGTTGGTGGGGATATCTCTGGGGTACTGGTTGTCTGGATCACCCTAACCTACTCCTAAAGGAGCCATAATCACTGTTCCCCTACCTGGGGACTGTGAGGCCAGGCTCGTAGCTGGCCAAAGAGCGCTCCCCCGGGGTCTGCCTCAGTGGAGGCAGCCGCCGGGGAGAGGCATGAGCCCTAGCAGGGACTCTGGGGCTGTGAGTCAGCTTCACAGCCGCAGAGTCCCCGCTGGCCACCTGGAGGTCCGTGCCGACCAATGGGAGAAGGTGCTCCCCATAAAACTAGGTTGGTGCCATTCCCCTGATTGGTCGACGCGAGGGAGTACTGATTGGTTGCTGTGGGAAGCAGGCAACCAATCAGAGAAGGAGCGCCTTCCAAACGGGTTTCGTGCCCTTTCGATTGATTGGGCAGCGAAACCCTTCTTCTCCCTGAGTGGTGATTGGCGCGATTTGGTTCGTGCCCTTTCAGCTGATTGGTTGTTGCTTGGTTTAGGTATGAAGTTTGCATTCACCGGACTAAACCACGCAACTCCCTGGAACTAATTTTGGGGATGTACAGAGCCTCGAGCACCAGACTTTAGACAATGATTTCTCAGGCTCTGTACATCTGATAGCCCCGCTATTTGCAGGCATTCCAGAGGGGACCCGGGGCTATCCAATGATATGTGTCTGATATGTGTGACCCCTTCCCGGGGCGTGGTGCCCCCCCTGTATGTACTATGTTTTAATGTGTGTAACTATTGTCCAGTTGGTATCTCCCAAAGTAGGAGATGGTTATCTGCTGTAAGCCATCCCTCACCAGCCTAGGACTGAGGAATTTGTACTGAATGAATGGAGACCCCTGCGCGGTCTGTGCATAAAAGAAGCCTGTTTTTAATAAAGATTGTCAGAGTTGTACCTCCAGAACTGTGTCTCATCCAGTTACTGTATATAATGTATATGTACATATGTGTGTTAGTGTGTGTCTGTTAGTGTGTATCTGTTAGTGAGTGTTAGTGTATATATATAGTATATGTATATTTAATCACGTGCATACATATAATGCATTTCCAATGTAATTAATTTTGAGATCTGTACAGGGTTTCTCATAGAAATGTCCTGAAACAATTGGTCCATTGAGTGATCACAGTCATTTGGGAGAATGAAGCTTGTTTAACCCATTATGGACCAAATGGTACATTTTGCCAATATCCAGTCTTTTCATTCTAGTCCCTATGACAGCATGGAATGTCCTGTTTATTTGGCATTGGTACCTCTACACAGTCCTGCTGTAGTTAATTGATTGGTTCATTCCAAATAGGAATAGGTTCCATAAAAACTGTATTATAATTAAGTTGTTATGGTTGGAGGAGGTCCCAGGGCACAATCTAACCTGAAGGGGTTAAATTGTTAATGAATAGAATATCCCTACAGTCTGCCAGCCGGCGCTCGATCATTCTGCACCTGCTCAATATTCGAGGCTTCAATCAAGAAGCCTTGGACCGTGTGCAACTGAGAGTAACAAGTGATATGTACCTTTTTCACTCAATATATAAATATTGATTCAGACAGTATTCTCATACTTCCCTAAGCAGAAAATACAAGTTGAATAATTATAACAATAACTTATGTTACTTCTAAATTGCAGCTGTTAAGGTAATATGATGAATGCATTGCAGTAAGAACATATATTCAATGATCGAAGTTCAATATATTCTGAGTTTTCAAGTGTAACTCTAGCAGCAAGGAGAAAATGAAATTGTTACATTGAAGTTGGACCAGAAATAAAGTATCGCTGGGGATTCCAGAAATTAAAACGACGCATCATACTCTCACCCTACACATCCAAAAAAAGCTGAGATCCAGCAAAGGACAGTAATCAAATAACATGACTACAAACCCTCAAAAGAGATGAAAGATAACAAACCTACAAAGTGAGTTGACATGGGGTAGACTGACCTGATAGAAAAAAGTGATGACTCTTAAGATGAGTGAAGATAAGTTTCTTCAGAAGATCTTTAAGAAAATCTTGGTATTTAAAATTCTAAAAGGATGGAGGCCAGTTCTAGATTTTGAAAACACACATGGCGACAACTGATAAGGACCCATGTAACTATCTTGCATGGAACAAAACGTATCTTCAAAGACTACAGATATACTATACTAAGAGGTCATAATCATATAAAAGATTGCCCTAGCAAAATATGCTGGTCGCCAATGGATCACCGGGGCAGGCATCAGATATTGTTAACTGCAATGCAATTCAAATATATTCAGAGAAGAATCAGCTGCTTATCAGCTAGACAGGAAGGAAATCTTTCATATGTTCAGATATATAAACCAATGAGGAATATTTTTTATAACACTTTGGATAGTGTTTTGTATTTCCAGGAAAAATATGATAATATTAAACAAAGATAATTTTGAAAAAGAACTTTATGTTTGTAAACAATAATTTGCCCATCAAAAATTAGTGTCATTTTTAGGCTCAACAAAATGCATAGTGAAAGTCAATATATGTAAAGTCAATAATGTATAGTCAATATTGCTAATAGGGTAGTGAGGTAATAAATTCTGCATTAGCAATATGCCGAGCATGGGGCTGGCAATGGGGCTCTCAAAAACAACTTGACACAGAACTAGGGGATGGCTCCAAGGGCATGCTGGCACCATAACCATGACAGTGGTAATAAGAGTGCAATTTTAATCATATTTGTAGAAAATGTTTATTTTTGTGGAATACAGTAAGATGTAGAATCATAGCAAACATGGCCATGGGAGAAATGAATAACTGTTCAAACACCCGCATTGTGGAAGATATAGCAGGTACGGACAAGTTAACTATACTCATTGCATCACTAAAAAGGTAATTCAGAGGTAATTTGTCTACAGAAAGGAGGCATGGTGTAAAGTTTATAAAAAAAACACTATAAAATTTAATTTTCTTACCTCCAAATCCAGGCCTCATGGCAAAATCATGGTCTTCAATTCTCAAAAGCTGTTCTGACTTTACCTGTCGGACTTTGGTGCTATCGATTCTTCTCATTTTGCTGTGGAATAGCCAAAGGTTGAATTAATGGCATTGTAAAACCTGTTATAAAAATTATATTAAGAGGTTAAAGGACCACTCTAGGCACCCAGACCACTTCAGCTTAATGAAGTGATCTGGGTGCCAGGTCCAGCTAGGGTTAACCCATTTTTTATAAACATAGCAGTTTCAGAGAAACTGCTATGTTTATAAATGGGTTAATCCAGCCCTCAAATCCTCTAGTGGCTGTCTCATTGACAGCCGCTGGAGGCGCTTGCGTGATTCTCACTGTGAAAATCACAGTGAGAACACGCAAGCGTCCATAGGAAAGCATTGTAAATGCTTTCCTATGAGACCGGCTGAAGGCGCGCGCAGCTCCTGCCGCGCATGCGCATTCAGCCCAGGAGGAGGATCGGAGAGGAGGAGGAGAGCTCCCCGCTCGGCGCTGGAGAAAGGTAAGAATTAACCCCTTTCCTCCCCCCAGAGCCCGGCGGGAGGGGGTCCCTGAGGGTGGGGGCATCCTCAGGGCACTATAGTGCCAGGAAAACGAGTATGTTTTCCTGGCACTATAGTGGTCCTTTAAGAGCACTTGGCTCTGGGAAATGTTAGCATGCCAACCTGATTCATTGTAACATCTTGTGCAAGCCCCTCCATTTTTAAGGTTTTTTGTTTTGTTTTGTTTTTTAATAATCATTGGTTTCTCTATTAAATGAAAGCATTGCATCAAATGTGTATAAATGTTAAATGTTACATGTAAAATTACATGTTACATGTATACTGGAAAATAAATTCTGCTGGCCAACTTGGAAACAATCCATTAAAAAGATTTAAGTTTATGTCTGTATGGACACAAACCGCAAAACACATAGTTCACACTCAGTCCCAGAATTCTACATGTAAGCATACTTGCATAGCTTTCTGGGAGTGAACTAAATGCATTGTGGAAAGTAGGCTATGAGAAATGTGTTACATTACTGCCTAGTAACACCTCTAGTGGCAATCACTCAAAGGTGCTTCCTGGACGTTCAATGTCCCCATGCTCCGGATGGAGACGCTAAATGTTCCCAATAGAGGTGCATTGATTCAATGCATCTGTATGTGGAAATGCTGATTGGCGCAGGGAGATGTTTTGCTGCGCATGTGCAATAGCCTCCCAATACTTTTCTATGGGACAGCATTGGATTGGCTGAGATCGTCAAATTTGATGATCTCAGCCATGTAGGCAGAGCTAGGCTGAGCCAGCCAAAACAAGACTGGTGCGGCGCTGGAATAAAGGTAAGTAATCCCACATTTTCAAGGGAGACTGGGGGCCTAAATAGTGTTATTGCCATTTTACTGTCTGGACTAAATGTTTGCATTCCTAACATGTTAATGTTCCATTAAATGAAATTAATAAACCCAATTATACAGATGAGAGGGAATTTTAAGTTCCTTCTCTTGTGGTCAGGGCCGTCTTTAACGCAGGACAAACGGGGGGGGCCAAGACAGCTGCTCCTTTTGCCCTCTGCCCGCAAACTGTGGGGGCCCATCGGGTGGCCCATGCTCTTAGGGCCACCCGGTGGGCCTGTGTCAGCAGGGGCCCGGTCGGGCGCTGTGTCGCTTTAACAGCGCGACTGGGCCCTTGCTTTTTGGCAGCACTGGGAGGAAGTGACAGCCACGCGTCACTTCCTCCCACAGAAACAAGAGCCACGGGGGAAGAAGGAGCAGTTCCGGAGGGGGCCAGGCCGGGAGAGCACCCAAGCCAGCCCACTGGACCCCAGGGAAGCCACTCTCCAGGAAAAGGTAAGAAACTGGAGGGTGGTTATCAAATTTTGCATGAGTGTCTGAGTGTGTGTGTGTGTGTGTGTGAGTATGTATGTATGTCTGTCAGTTAGTGTGCCAGTATGTCTGTCAGTGTGTCAGTATGTCTGTGTGTGTGAGTCTGTCGGTGTCTGTGTGGTTCTGTATGTCTGTGTTTGTCAATATGTCTGTCAGTGTCTGTGTGTATGTGTGTTTCAGTATGTCCGTCTGTATGTATATGTGCCAGTATGTCTGTCAGTGTGTCAGTATGTCTGTGTGTGTGAGTCGGTCAGTGTCTGTGTGGTTCAGTATGTATGTGTGTATGTGTGTTTCAGTATGGCTGTCTGTGAGTGTCAAAATGTCTGTATGTGTGTACGTCTGTCAGTGTCTGTGTGTTTCAGTATGGCTGTCTGTGAGTGTCAAAATGTCTGTATGTGTGTACGTCTGTCAGTGTCTGTGTGTATGTGTGTTTCAGTATGGCTGTCTGTGTGTGTCTCTGTGTCAGTACGTCTGTCAGAATGTGCTTCTGTATCTGTATGTTGTCCGTTTGTGTTTGTGTGTGTATCTGTATATAGTCAGTGTGTATCTGTATGTGTCCGTGTTTGTATATGTATATCTGCATGTGTGTCAGGTTGTGCATCTGTGTATCTGTGTGTCTGTATGTGTGTCAGTGTGTGTGTCGGTGTATCTATATGTAGTCAGTGTGTGTACCTTTGTATCTGCATGTCAGTGTTTGTATCTGTGTATCTGCATGTTTGTCAGGTTGTGTATCTGTGTTTGTGTCTATCTGTGTGTCAGTGTTCTATATGTAGTCTGTGTGTATCTGTATGTTCCTGTGTGTATCTATATGCGGTCAGTATGTATCTGCATGTGTATCAGATTTTGTATTTGTGTGTAACTATATAGTCAGGGGGCCCAAGTAAATGCTTGCCCAGGGTCCAATCAAAATTAAAGACGGCCCTGCTTGTGGTTGGTTATGGTTAAGAAGAATAAGAATATGTATTGTTTTAGATTAATTAATTTAATTTGAGTGCAAAAACATAGATGCTAATAAATAATTACTACTTTTTGTGTTTAGCACAAAGTTATTTATTGATCAAATAATGGATTGTGAGTGAACTTCATGATTGTGCAAATATATTCATAAACCAGAACTATTTTAGCAAGGTAGCTCATTTCATGACAAAAAATACACTTTCATTTTTTAAACTTAAAAACTTAACTCTTCTAGTTGCTAATAATTTTTTGGGATGGAGGGTAAATTTACAGGGATCTCTTCAGTTGTGTGGCTCTCTAGGGATCTGATATTTAAATATAAATATACTGATTTTTTTTCTATCATACAATTTAGTTCACTTATTGCTTCTAAATGAGTACATTTACATCAGGTTTGGTCTCTCTTCACTCTCATTCACTCCAGCAGCATACATACAGTATTCTCCAGAATCACTATTTTATATATTTAAATGTTTCTAATATATTCCCCCTGTCTCGTCTTTCCTCCAAGCTATACATGTTTAGATCTTTAACCTTTCCTTGTAAGTTTTATCCTGCAATCCATGAACCAAGCCCTTCTCTGAACTCTCTCTAAAGTATCAATATCCTTCTGGAGTTACGGTCTGGTCTCCAGTGCTGCGTACAATACTCCAAGTGAGGTCTCACCAGTGTTTTGTACAATGGCAAGAGCACTTCCATCTTTCTACTGCTAATACCTCTCCCTGTACAACCAAGCATTCTGCTAGCATTTCCTGCTGCTATATTAAATTGGCTGCCTACCTTTAGGATATCTGAAATAATTACCCCTTAATCCCTTTCCTCAGATGTTGAGATTAGGACTATCAAAATTCTGTACTCTGCCCTTGGGTTTTTACGCCCAAGATGCATTATCTTGCACTTATCCACATTAAATGTCAGCTGCCACAACTCTGACCATTTTTCTAGTTTACCTAAATCATTTGCCATTTGGCTTATCCCTCCTGGAACATCAACCCTGTTACATATCTTAGTATCTTCAGCAAAAAGACATACCTTACCATCAAAACCTTCTGCAATATCACTAATAAAAATATTAAAGAGAATAGGTCCAAGTAAAGATCCCTGAGGTACCCCACTGGTGACAAGCCCATGTTTCATATATACTCCAGCTCCATGGCATCATAATCTTCGAGTTAGGCTAATTATTTTAACTAAACTATTTGAGTCTCAATGCGGTAAATTTCCAAGGTCAGTTGCTGAAAAACTATAAAAACCAAGTGTATCTCCCACCACCAATGATCTACACTATATATATTCCACCATTTTGTATTGTTGTGTATGCAATGTCTTCCATTTATATATTACAACCGAGAGCTGTTTAGAGCATGTTAAAATTGTTTAATGAGTGGGGATTTCTTTCTTCTGTTTAGAAGTTTAGAACTTCTTTAGTCTCACTGATATGAGTCAGAATGATTTTGCAAATGTTTTAATGGCAGTTACACTAGTGGCAGGGACGAAGATTTCCCTCTACCACTGTATTTAATATGAGAAAAAATATTTGCAGCTTTATTTTATAATATATGTTTACTGAGAATAGAAATCAGAAATCGTCCATGAGATAGAGGAAAATCAGTGATTTCATAATTTTGCATGAAATATAGAGACCACTGCAGAAGATGACAATTCTAAGAATGGGCAAAAGCCTAATAACTTGCTCTTCGGATAGGCATGGCTCAGGTTTTAAACAAGTTTTAGCTCACATATACCATTACAGAGAAAACAATACCATTTACACATCAGATTAATCTCAGACGGCAGTACAGATGTGAAATGCTGGCACGTTCCCATTGCACAATATTTACATGAACCCTATATGACCATTTCGTAATTTGTCGTCGTCAGTGAGATGTAGCTGATACCCACAAGGGACAGTGAGCAAGGGTCCAAATAAAGGTCAAAACAACTGTCTGGAGTTACTGTATCTCTGAATGAATTGTCTTGTGGAATTCAAAAGGTGGGACTCTCATGATAACTGAATCTTCAGTTTGCCCGATGTTATCTGGTTTTAATTTGTATTCTTCCAAAACAGATAAATGGTAAAAAGATCAAATTAGTTATAAAACAATAAGATAATTTTAGAGAGTATTTCTATTACTTTGCCCAGGCTGTGTGATTTGTATTGTGACATTATTATTGCAGAGGATGTTTTCTTCTGTACATTCTGTATTTTTTTTATTGCATTGAAGAAGTAGATGCTTATATGCAAAAATA